CGGTTGGGGGGGGGGGGGGTTACGGTGAGTTCGTATTAAAGTATAATGCATAGAGTATTCTTTATGGCAGGGGCTCTTAACCATGTGTACCTGCACCCCGAAGGAAGTGTCGGTTTATCTGTATTTTTACTAGCGCTTTTCGTGGTGTGCGGGAAATATGCTTTTCAAATAAGATTGGTGCCGCGCTGAAAAAAATATTAAAAGCCACTGATTTATGGCTCATGCTTTATGAGTTTTCTGTATGTTTAGTGACTTTCGAAATTTCTTGAGTGAGGCGAGGAACAACGAAATCAAAAACCGTCCCGAATGTCTATCTTTAGTCTACTCCTACTACCCCAGGAAAATAGAGTCGAACATCTTTATTTATAACCCCATCCCCTAAATACAAACACACACACACACATAAAACAGACAAAAATTATTTAAATAACAATAATAACAGTTGGGGTATGGTATACCTTTTATGAGACTACTTATAAACCAGTGGCTTTTGGTGACTGAACAGGCATATGATCAAATCACATGACATTCCGTCAAAATGGCGCAGGATGTTCAACAACAATTTTTAAAGTTACGTTTTGTCCATCGCTGATAAAAACATGAGTTTACTTAATAAAAGTGCCGAAAAGACGGAAACATAATTGTGATCATTTATGATAATTCTAAAAGTTTGAATTCTATTTGAAATGATAAGATGAATAATCGGTATTTTCAGTTGGATTATCTGTATTCAAGTCCAAGATACGCAGCAGTAAACAATGGAACAATTATTAGAAGTGAGTGGGCTATTACTATTATGCACTATTAGGCCCATGCCTATTTATTAAATTTATGTAGCCTATAAAGTTATAATCATATATACGATCTATAAAGCTTAAGGCTAGAAATTGATTAACATTTGACTTTATGGCTAATTTTTTCCAAGGAAAGTTTATGGAATGAAAGGTATCAGAAATAATGAATCATTTCATACTCATTTCATAGTATGAATTTACATTTACCAACGGCACTAAATCAAAATCTCAACTTACTACTTACTATCTACACTCTACTTCTACACTTCAAACTTCTCTACTACCCCACCCAAGCCCACTGTGTGACCACCATCACAGTGTGGAGTATTATAAAAATTAGCATTGTAGGCCTTTACTATTACACATTGTCCTAGAGCTATCAATAATATATAAATATAGATCCTCACACTCAGTAACAGCATTCAGTCTCTACTATCTATACTTGAACTTGTCTACTAATTCACTTTCACTCACAGTTAATAAGTATTATTATTATAAAAAGTAGGCCTACTTACTACTATTTTCACCTAGTAGTAGTAGTCTTAGTCTTAGACTTAGAAGAGCTTTCAATAATTAATAATAATAGGTACCCAGTACACATGCCCTTTGTCGTACAGCAGGTAAATGATGGATTGTAAAGTTGTCAACTGTGTCACTGACAGTGATAGTATCAGAACAAAAATGCTAAATCTTTTGGCCCTGCAAATTGCAGTATACCACAATACTGCCAATACATTGGCTTGAGACAACAAATCTGACCTGTTTAAAAATGTATATTTATAATAATTAATATATATATATATATCCATTGTAATTGTACAAAATGCATTTCCCAGGAAAAATTTAAGTTGCTGGCAAAAATGTCTAAATAAGAAAAAAAACAAGTGAAAAAGATTCAGATGCTGCATAACTTTAAAAAATCTGTAACATTTTTTTGTTTATATAGCTGATAAAAATAGACTGACAAATACTTTGCAATTTCCCATATAGTTTTAAGCACTTTTAACGGAAATGTAAAAAATGTCTATTACTCTGACTAACTTAATTTTATTATGTAGCTTCAGAACTTATAAAATATTAAAATTTTTTAATAACCTTTTTCCTTTCTTATCATAGTCTGAGAGTAAATGTAAATAAAATTGCATGCATAGTCATTTAAAAAATAATATATAAACTGTATTTTCAGTTTGCATTGGTGCAGTTAGTTATTATTGTTTAATAGTAATTTTTGTGTGTCCTCCACCTAGGTAATTGGATTGCATTTGCACTACTCTTGACTCTGAGTCTAACAAGTTTGACATGGAGTCAGTCAACAAACAACTGGTCTGATATTTTTCCTGTGTTAAACTGCTCAGGAATTCATTTTAACTCTTGCAGCCCGTGCGTCCCTGGAACTTTTGCAGATAACAGTAATGCTTTTTAAACATAAAATTTATCACTGTAAATAATTATTTAATTTAAACAGGTTAGTTATAATTTGTAAATCATTTTTCTTTGTATTTTATCATCAACACTGACAAGTGAAAGTTTGTTTTTTTTGTATGATTTTCTCTAAATACATCTTAAAACAGGTACAATTTACTGCGGATGCTGTTCACAACCCCATTTAGGCCTGTGTACTAATCTGACCATGTGCTCTGCATGTCCTGTTGGTGAATATCAGTCAAGCATTGGAAAGCTCAGTTGTGACCTCTGTCCACAAGGAACATCAACTGAGTAAGACATTTTTATAACTTAATTTGATTAATTTTAAGTTTTTAAATTAATATGCAGGTATAAGTCATTTATATTATTAAAATTCTTTATCGTGAAAAAATAAATATGTGTGATATGAACTTCAAATTCATGACAATTTTTTGTTATAAGGTGAATTACAAAAAAATGACAGTTTAATATTTTAACAACAGGAATTGATAAATGCTTTAGTTACCATTGACATGTAATTTGGCTCCTTTATTCAATAATAAGCTGAAAATATATTTTTTGTTGTATTTTCACTTTAGAAATCAAACAAGGTCTGTGAATTGTACGGAATGTGGACCGGGATATTTTGCTAATGAAACAGGGTCATCCACTTGCATGTCTTGTGATGCAGGTATCTTCGTTCTCAAATATATCCAAGAGCTTTTGTTTTTCTTGTTTAAATTATGAAGATTTACTTATAAAGTGATCTTTTTAAATTGTTATTTTGGTTAAGGTATATGATCGTCAAAAGAATGAATAAGAAAATTACAAAATAAGACACTTTCTAAATAGTTTACATGAAGGAAATTTCACTGCAGAATCACATGTGGGACATAAAAATAAGATAGAGTTTACTTTTGTCATTGTAGGTGTTTCCTGAAAAGTTCTTTAGATTATATGTTTTTCTCAAAGTATTTCTGTATTTTTTACGTTTAAGGCTTTTACCAACCTCATTCCGGTAAGCCTGGCTGTCTAGCTTGTGATAAAGGTTATTACAACAATGAGACCGGGCAGGTCAATTGCACTGCTTGTGGAGAAGGCCACTATCAACCTGATACGGGAAAGTCAGACTGTCAGGCTTGCGGAAAAGGCCATTATCAGCCAGACCCAGGGAAGTCTGATTGTCTTGGTTGTCCAGAAGGTTACCACAACAATGAAACGGGCCAGGCCAACTGTACTGCTTGTGACACGGGATATTATTGCAGGTGTGTGTCAAAAAGAGGTTTATTTACCTTTTAATTATTTATTGGAAACACAAATGGCACTTATGGAACTTATGGCACTTAAAGAACATATGGCACTTATGGAACATTTGACACTTATAGAATATATGGCTCTTACAGAACATATGGCACTTATGGAACATTTGACACATATAGAATATATGGCTCTTACAGAACATATGGCACTTATGGAACATTTGACACATATAGAATATATGGCTCTTACAGAACATAGGGCACTTATGGAACATATGGCACTTACAGAACATATGGCACTTACAGAACATATGGCACTTACAGAACATATGGCACTTATGGTTTTGAAAGCAAAACTTTTTGGAAAGTCGCTTTAATTAATTAAAAAACATAAAAATCAAAGCAACCCATACTAAAGTAGAATCAGTTTGGTAAGATATTGCTTGAACCTATTGAATATTAACTTTCAGTAAAACAGAATGTGAAGACTGTGTGCCATGTCCAGCTGGTCACTACACTAACCAAACTGCCACGGCTTCTTGCTCTTCATGCTGGAAAGGTTGCTATATAACTCAGAACTCAGTGTATTTATCTCTTAGGAATTTTTTATTTGGCATTTGAATACAACATGAGGGAAGTGATTTGTTAAAATATTTATTTGTGGACCTGTACTATCTTATAACATTTGTTAGCAAGGATAACATTTTGCCGCAAAAATAAACTAAATAGATTTTCTAAAAAATAAATATAATATTTTTTATTATGAAAAAATAAAATTCCTTACAAAAGCTATGAATTGAATATCATGACAGGTTCACATCAGCCTTTGCCAGGCAAAACAACGTGTGAGGAGTGTCCGGCAGGTTTTGAGGCCCAGTAAGTTTGACTCCGTCGTCACTGTCATTTTAGATATTTTGTAAAATTCAGCCTTATCCACACAACACATTTAGTTAATAATCATGTTATCCGAGCAACACGTTTAGTTAATAATCATGTTATCCGAGCAACACATTTAGTTAATAATCATGTTATCCGAGCAACACGTTTAGTTAATAATCATGTTATCAGAGCAACACATTTAGTTAATAATCATGTTATCCGAGCAACACGTTTAGTTAATAATCATGTTATCCGAGCAACACATTTAGTTAATAATCATGTTATCCGAGCAACACGTTTAGTTAATAATCATGTTATCCGAGCAACACATTTAGTTAATAATCATGTTATCCGAGCAACACGTTTAGTTAATAATCATGTTATCCGAGCGACACATTTAGTTAATAATCATGTTATCCGAGCAACACGTTTAGTTAATAATCATGTTATCCGAGCAACACGTTTAGTTAATAATCATGTTATCCGAGCAACACATTTAGTTAATAATCATGTTATCCGAGCAACACAGTTAGTTAATAATCATGTTATCCGAGCAACACATTTAGTTAATAATCATGTTATCCGAGCAACACATTTAGTTAATAATCGTTATCCGAGCAACACGTTTAGTTAATAACCATGTTATCCGAGCAACACATTTAGTTGATAATCATGTTATCCGAGCAACACGTTTAGTTAATAATCATGTTATCCGAGCAACACATTTAGTTAATAATCATGTTATCCGAGCAACACGTTTAGTTAATAATCATGTTATCCGAGCAACACGTTTAGTTAATAATCATGTTATCCGAGCAACACATTTAGTTAATAATCATGTTGTCCGAGCAAAACGTTTAGTTAATAATCATGTTATCCGAGCAACACGTTTAGCTAATAATCATGTTATCCACACATCACATTCAATTGATAGTCCTTTTATCCACATCATATTAGATAACTTCAGAGTAGAAAAGATTATTATACAAACAAATGTAAACTTATTGTGTTTCCAGGAGAAATTCATCAATGTATACAAACTTATTTTTAATGGAGATCTATAAATGACCTCATGCTATTTTGGGAGATTTTGGAGGGCCAACACACCGCCATACTGTCACAAATTTCCTAAAAATTAGACACCTTCATAATACATGGTCAGAAATTTGTGACTCCACCACTGCGGCTAGATGAGTGACATCATTTATGGATGGCCCCTAACTACAAATATTTTAATGTATCTATATGATGTAATGCTGTATTCCTCCCTTTCCCAACTCCCTGCGCTATCAATCTGCAGACTTGTTTAATCTTATGATTTTAGCATACAATGTATGTTTTTAAGGTGTATAAATTATATATATTGTATGTTTATTTTTTACTATTAAGATAATGTATTGAATGTTTTTGTGATGACATTGTACGATTTTAATAGTTGGAGGGTAAACAGGTCTGAATCTGGATCTTGTGTGTATAAAATTGTGCAAGCAATCTGTATCTTGTGTCTATGAAATAGTGAATCCAATCTGTATTTTGTGGCTAGAAAGGATAGGAAATTTTCAGTTGTTAACTCTCTAACCAAATGTTTTATTAATTACATCAGTTTTGAAGCAGTTGAACTAGACAACTCTCTAACCAAATTTTTTATTCATTGCATCAGGTTTGAAGCGGCTGTGAATTGCACTCCATGTAACAAAGGAACATTTAAAAATGAGAGTGGATTTGACATCTGCCAGTCTTGCCCACCAGGTGAGTAAAAAACAACTATCACCCCATCTGTCCAGGTGACATATCTGGAAAGGGGACATTTTTGGTCACAAATATTTACATAACACAAGTAATTAAAAAGATAAATATTTGTGAAGAGACTTGTTAATGCTCCAAACATAATAAAGATAATTTCAAATATTGGTGCATGTCAAGTCATTAGACCCAAAAATGCCATGACCCTTCTCTAATCTCTCTAATGTTTTGTGCATACTGTTTATCTAGGTTGATGAAATCATTTGACAGTGTGCCAAACTGGTCTAAATCTGAACCATGACAATATCATAATATTGAGTTCCTGGGAGTTCATTATGTTTTCACTAATGGTGCTGTATCTACAATGACTTGTATCTTCAGTGCATGACCTAGGCAGATGATCTCTGTACTTGAGTGCATGACTTAGTCAGATGATCTCAGTACTTGAGTGCACAGCCTAGGCAGATGATCTCAGTACTTTAGTGCATGACCTAGGCAGATGATCTCAGTACTTGAGTGCATGACTTAGTCAGATGATCTCAGTACTTGAGTGCACTGCCTAGGCAGATGATCTCAGTACATGAGTGCATGACTTAGGCAGATGATCTCAGTACTTGAGTGCATGACATAGGCAGATGATCTCAGTACTTGAGTGCATGACTTAGGCAGATGATCTCAGTACTTGAGTGCATGACTTAGGCAGATGATCTCAGTACATGAGTGCATGACTTAGGCAGATGATCTCAGTACTTGAGTGCATGACTTAGGCAGATGATCTCAGTACTTGAGTGCACAAATCTACTAGTGATCTTACAAATTTAGTTCAGATCTACAAGTGGTCCTACAAGTTTAGTTCAGATCTACTATTGGTCATCATCCATCATTTACAGAGAACACTTAAGACATAATTAATTGTTAACATTTCTGATCTTGTTGTTGATGCTCAGTTAAATATTTTTAAACATTGTGTAAACACCTAGTGTGTCCATTGTACAGCACCTAGTGTGTCCATTGTAAACACCTAGTGTGTCTGTTGTAAACACCTAGTGTGTCCATTGTACAGCACCAAGTGTGTCCATTGTAAACACCTAGTGTGTCTGTTGTAAACACCTAGTGTGTCCATTGTACAGCACCTAGTGTGTCCATTGCAAACACCTAGTGTGTCTGTTGTAAACACCAAGTGTGTCCATTGTACAACACCTAGTGTGTCCATTGAAAACACCTAGTGTGTCTGTAGTAAACACCTAGTGTGTCTGTTGTAAACACCTAGTGTGTCTGTTGTAAACACCTAGTGTGTCCATCATACAACACCTAGTGTGTCCATTGTAAACACCTAGTGTGTCTGTTGTAAACACCAAGTGTGTCCATTGTACAACACCTAGTGTGTCCATTGAAAACACCTAGTGTGTCTGTAGTAAACACCTAGTGTGTCTGTTGTAAACACCTAGTGTGTCTGTTGTAAACACCTAGTGTGTCCATCATACAACACCTAGTGTGTCCATTGTAAACACCTAGTGTGTCTGTTGTAAACACCAAGTGTGTCCATTGTACAACACCTAGTGTGTCCATTGAAAACACCTAGTGTGTCTGTAGTAAACACCTAGTGTGTCTGTTGTAAACACCTAGTGTGTCTGTTGTAAACACCTAGTGTGTCCATCATACAACACCTAGTGTGTCCATTGTAAACACCTAGTGTGTCTGTTGTAAACACCTATTGTGTCCATTGTACAGCACCTAGTGTGTCCATTGTAAACACCTAGTGTGTCTGTTGTAAACACCTAGTGTGTCCATTGTACAGCACCTAGTGTGTCCATTGTAAACACCTAGTGTGTCTGTTGTAAACACCTAGTGTGTCTGTTGTAAACACCAAGTGTGTCCATTGTACAACACCTAGTGTATCCATTGAAAACACCTAGTGTGTCTGTAGTAAACACCTAGTGTGTCTGTTGTAAACACCTAGTGTGTCCATTGTACAGCACCTAGTGTGTCTGTAGTAAACACCTAGTGTGTCTGTTGTAAACACCTAGTGTGTCTGTTGTAAACACCTAGTGTGTCCATTGTACAACACCTAGTGTGTCCATTGTAAACACCTACTGTGCCCATTGTAAACACCTAGTGTGTCTATTATAAACACCTAGTGTGTCCATTGTACAACACCTAGTGTGTCCATTGTAAACAGTGTGTCCATTGTAAACACCTAGTGTTTTCATTGTAAACACCTAGTGTGTCCATTGTAAACACCTAGTGTGTCTGTTGTAAACACCTAGTGTGTCCATCATACAACACCTAGTGTGTCCATTGTAAACACCTATTGTGTCTGTTGTAAACACCTAGTGTGTCTGTTGTAAACACCTAGTTTGTCCATTGTACAACACCTAGTGTGTCCATTGTAAACACCAAGTGTGTCCATTGTAAACACTTAGTGTGTCCATTGTAAACACCTAGTGTGTTCATTGTAAACACCTAGTGTGTCCATTGTACAACATATAGTGTGTCCATTATAAACACCTAGTGTGTCCATTGTAAACACTTAGTGTGTCCATAGTAAACACCTAGTGTGTCTGTTGTTAACACCTAGTGTGTCTGTTGTAAACACCTAGTGTGTCCATTGTAAACACCTAGTGTGCCCGTTGTAAACACCTAGTGTGTCCATTGTACAACACCTAGTGTGTCCATTGTACAACACCTAGTATGTCCATTGTACAACACCTAGTGTGTCTGTTGTAAACACCTAGTTTGTCCATTGTAAACACCTAGTGTGTCCGTTGTAAACACCTAGTGTGTCCATTGTAAACACCTAGTGTGTCAGAGATAATCATAAAATTATAAAACTAATTGATGAGCCAAGTTGTAAGATAACAAGTTTGTAATGCACTATAATCAGGAGGTGAGTGATAGTGGTTTACTTGTCCTTGTATCTATGTAGGTACACATTGCTAGCATGGCATTTAAAAAATTTATCAGTGATAACAATACAAAAGGAAACACTTTTAATTAATTTTTTTTTTTTCATGTCCATCTTTGAGTGGATAAATTGAAATGAAATATCAAGTAAAAATTAAAGCAGAACTTAGAAATAAATCAAGAAAGTGTCCAATAGATTTTTAGTAAATAATAAATGGAGCTGGTGACTAACTGCAATTGTGCTCTGAAAACTGTTGTACTTGCCCATTCAAAACTGTTGTACTTTCCCATTCAAAACTGTTGTACTTGCCCCTTCAAAACTGTTGTACTCGCCCATTCAAAACTGTTGTACTTGCCCATTCAAAACTGTTGTACTTGCCCATTCAAAACTGTTGTACTTGCCCATTCAAAACTGTTGTATTTGCCCATTCAAAACTGTTGTACTTGCCCATTCAAAACTGTTGTACTTGCCCATTCAAAACTGTTGTACTTGCCCATTCAAAACTGTTGTACTTGCCCATTCAATGGCAAGAAATGCCATTTTGATCAGGATGTTTTGTGAAGACTTCTTAGTTCAAAATAACCAGGGATCTCAGCCAGAACATTTACTCTTCTCAGGGATCTCAGCCAGAACATTTACTCTTCTCCAAAATTAATTAAAATTTATTTTTTAAAATTTTGAAGCATGTGTTCAGATATATTTTCTGTTGATCATCTTTCTTGTGGGTAAAAGTCAAAGGTTGAAAACTTGCATTATCGAGCCGTGTTTCCCTTCTCTTCTTCTTTATTTTGAGGGCCCACGATCAATGAAGTGATCATTCTGGCTCCTGTGTTTCAGAGGGGTTCTTGATGTTACTGTGCATGGGTTTCAAGGGGATACTTCACGGGTTGCCAGGGCGACTCAGCAGTGGGGTTACGAACTGGGGGTTGGAAGCCAGGAGGCATGAGACACAAATGTGTTGAGTGTAGCTGCCTCAACTGTTGTTTTTGGAAGCTTGTTCCAGTCCCTTATTGTCTTTGGCAGGAATGAGGAGCTCCTGTACTGAGTTCTTGTTTTTTTTTAGCCGGAACTGCCTGTCGTGGCCTCGTCACTGTCTCAGGGGAAGATGGAGGAGTTTCTGTTTGATACCGGAGAAGTGGACCAGCCCATTTTTTATCTTGTACAACAGCGTTTCCCAAACTTTTAAGTTTCACAGACCGGTGAACAAGTTTCGAAACTGCACCAGAGACCGGTGCCAGATTTATTAATTACATTTTCTTTCTATTTAAACATCAATATTCATGCTCTCTGGACCAGTAACGTAAGGCGTGCAGACCGGTGCTGGTCCACGGACCACCGTTTGGGGAATGCTGTTGTACAAAATGGTGAGCCTGGATAGTCTTCGTTGTTCTTCCAATGGTGACCAGCCCAGTTTTTCTAGTATGCTGCAAACACTTGAGGTGTTTCTGTAGCGGTTCAGGAAAAAGCGTGCTGCCCGTCACTGGACCGCCTCCAACCTGTTGATGCTTTTCTGGGTAAATGGGTCCCAGACTGAAGATGTGTCACAGAACGGTTGTTACGGAGGAGGGCTCCGGGCCTGACTTATCACAAACTGTGTTGACTTAGTAGTGGTCAGTACAGGACCGCTCCTCTCTGTGATTTATATTGTGGGTGTCTAGGCGTTGAGACAGATAGAAGCACAATGTAGACTTGGATGAAATCCAACAAAACAAACTCCAGGTGTCCAATGATAAAATAGACTATATTTATTTCTCAAATAAACAGTTCTTCTGTATTGTTCACTAACTGTCAGCTATCTACGACTGTTTCTAAACTGTTTTAACTACATCGTCTCCTATGTTCCACTAGTCAACTCGTCTTCTGATCTCTTGCGACTATTCCCTAGCAACCGCTCAACTCTCTCGTAGCTCTTTTCTCTCTTCCTCAACTAACCCGTAGCTCTTCTCTATCTTCCTCAACTCACTACTATCATGAAAAGTTCTGTCTTATATACCATTCTCTACCTACCTTGGTGGTCTAGGAATGCTGGCAATTAACCCATCCATGCCCCCCTCATTTCCGTTCAACACCAAAATTGTCACGACAAGTCTGCAAAACCCGAGACATAATGTTTTGGAAAGAAACATCCCCCTATCTCCAAGATGGGACAATCTATTGACCTTAATTGACCCCTTAACAATGGCGTCGCTAAACTAAAATAACAGCAAAGTATCTCAACAACAATGGAGCTCTGTCCTGTACCTCAGCCCCATTCATTTGTGACAAGATGCGTACTCTAAAAGCGGCCAGATAAAGGCTTTAATAAGCTTTTTCTTTCATGCTTGAGGTGCCGATCTTCAGATTGTGCCTTAGGAACCCCAGGGTCTTGTTTGCCCGGTTGCACACATTGTTAATGTGCTCGCCCCAGCGAATCTCTCTTTGAATAGTAACATCTAGGTACCTAACTGAGGAAACTGGCTCAAGAATATGGCCATGCAATTTGTAAGAGTGGTGTAGAGGGGACATGCTTCTGGAGACTGACAGAGTCTGGCACTTGACGGAATGAAATTCCATGTCCCAGCTCATCTCCCACTCTGCTAACCGATTGAGGTCCTGTTTAGCTGGTCCTGCTCAGAATGGTTGGCGATCGTCCTATACACTGCCGTGTCGTCTGCGAACAGTCTTGCTTGGGAGGTCAGCTTCTCGGGCAGATCATTGATATATGCTAGGAACAAACAGGGGCCTAGCACCGAGCCCTAGGGGACCCCTAACTTTACACCGACAAAGGAGGACGTTTTGCCATCTACCACTACTGCCTGGCATCGCTCGCTGAGGAAGCTAGAGATCCATCTTTTGGTAGTGCCTTGGATCCCATATCTCTGCAGTTTGTATAATAGCAAGCTATGGTTGACACGGTCAAACACCTTTGAGAGGTCCAGCAAAAGCACATCAGTTTGCTTGCTGTTCTCCAAATTGGTCATCAATTCTTCAACAAATTCAATGAGTTGGGTCTCACATGATCTGTTGACTTGGAAGCCATGCTGACAGTCATTGAGTATATTGTGTTTTTCAAGATGATTCATAACTGCGCTTACGATTATGTGCTCCAATAGTTTGCATACTACGCTGGTGAGGGATACACGGCGGTAGTTGGCAGGGTTGTAATGCTCCCCTTTTTTTGTAGATTGGAGTGACATGCGCTGTTCTCCAGTCAGTTGGAACGTTGCCTGTGAATAGCGACGATTGGAAGAGGATTGTCAGTGCAGGAGCGATTTCATTAACCATTCTTTTAGCACTCGTGGTTTGATGTTGTCAGGATCAAATGCCTTGTAGGGGTGAATGGTTTTTAAGGAGTGCCAGTACACCCTTCTCTGATATCTGGATATCTTCCATGGCGAGGAAGGCTGTGTTCATCATGTTGGTCTTCAGAAGGAACTCAACCTCTGAGTACTCTCTACCATCACCAAAGACCGACTGGAACTGTTGATTGAGTATGTCCGCCTGTGCTTTGGGTTCGGATGTCTGCTGGCCTTCCCATCTCAGGGGGGAAAACCCCGGTGTTTGATGACCTTTGGTGCTTGACGTAGCTCCAGAACCGCTTGTTCTTGACAATCTTTTCTGTGCCAAGCACCATGATATTTTTTACTGTTCCCCCACATTCCCCTACAAAAGTAAAAGTGCATTTTAAAATTAGAAGGAAAATGGACTAAACAAAAAATAGAATCTCAAAAATTAAAGAAAATTTCAAAAATAAACTTCCATTTGATTACTTAAAGTAAAAAATTCCTGAATAAATCCAAACATTTATGTTGTAAATTAAAAGTAACTGGCCCCCCTATTTCTTATATTAGAGAAATACAGGGATGAATGCATTCACGTTGATAAAGCAAAAAAAATATACAAGGGGTAGAGGAAAACCTGAAGGACAATACAAAAAAGTGGACGATTTGGCCAAGAGACAGACAGACTTGGCTTATATTTGACTGGAAAGGGCAGATATATTCAATTACGAAAGTTTCCCATGAAATAAAAGAATTTGCATATGAGATTAACAGGAACATAAAAGATTAGAAATAAATAAATAAGATAAGATAAGATGCAATGGAAATTGAAGATTACTATAAAACAACAAGGGGAGGTAAATGCCACCTCAGACGCCCTGGAGGTTCTAGCACCCCAGTTTAGCAGCCCTGATATATTGCAATTATTCTTTACATTATTTTCATATATTTTATTGTTTCTTATACTGTGAACTGAAACGCTGATGTGAATCTCTGTGATCCCTGTAGGTTCTAACAGCAGCTTATTGAACAGTACCTCCTGTGAACTGTGTCATGCGGGCAGCTATCAAGATAGGTATGGACAAGAACAATGTGAGAAATGTTCCAGGGGCACACATTGCAAGTAAGTTATCTTCTTCTGATATTTCAGAAAAACTGAATTTCATATTTTTTCATAATCTTGCATTATGCTGGACTTTAGATCCTCATGGGAGCATAGAATGTTATCTGATGCTTCAAGGGAATCTAATACGTCAATCCAACAAAGGCATATTAACTTAAGTCTCAAGATTCTGAAATAAACATAATTGAATAGTTGTAAACATAATATTGAAAGGCTGTAAACATAATATTGAATTGCTTTAAGCATAATGTTGAATGGCTGTAATCATAAATGGTGAATGGCTGTAACTTTTAACAGAATGTTGAATGGCTGTAACCATAATGTTGAATTGCTATAAGCATAATGGTCAATGGCTGTAACCATAATGTTGAATTGCTATAAGCATAATGTTGAAAGGTTGTAATCATAAATGGTGAATGGCTGTAACTTTTAACAGAATGTTGAATGGCTGTAACCATAACGTTGAATTGCTATAAGCATAATGGTGAATGGCTGTAACCATAATGTTAAATGGTAGTCACTGAATCTTGTTATTTCCAGCACAACTGGCTGCGTAATATGTCAGCCATGTGAAGCAGGACAAGAGGCACTTATAAATGGAGCAACAAACTGCACATTATGTCGACCAGGTTAGTTGACGAAATCGTGAAGTTTTATTATTTACTTCATGTTGATAAATATAATGTCAATGTTAATGTACAGGGTATACCACAATACTAAATTTTAATGATCTAAAATGTTATAAAATTCGGAGAATCTCTCCTGAAGAAAAAACAAATCAGGTACTTTTACCTCAATGCCATCAGCAGCAGAAAGTAATCTGTAATATTTTAAATACTTATCACTGTTCATTATTAAATTGATTAATTAATTTCTTGGTTTGTGGAAATGGTCTTTTGCCAAAATGTCAATTTCTTTGTTTCGTCTTTTGTACAATTCTACATTATACTTTGAATATTTTAACCATGAGACTCCATATCTCTTATAATTTTTAAAAATATTTCTTAAAGACTTATGCACACTAATTTTTATGCACAATTTTTTCACATTATGCAACATTCAAAGCCAGTCATTTTCTAACCATAAAGTTAAATTTGAATTTATGAAATTTAATACTGACCACTTGAGAGAAAAGTGTACCTACTTCATAATACCCTTAAAAATTTTGACCAACTCAAATCTGACAATTTTTCATAATAATCTATTCCATTTCTCTATGTGCAGGAATGTTTAAAAGTCATGCTACTAGTTACCTATGTCAAAAATGTGACTCTGGCTGGTACACAGATCAGTATGGCTCTTTAGATTGTACTCTGTGTCCCCGTGGCAGCTACTGCCCTGTGAGTTTCTCATTCTTAAACCTAATTTATTTGAGCTGTTAGTTATGCTCTAAACATGCATTCACAAATTATTTGTGAGAAATAAGAATGACATTTTTATACAAAGTTTATTCATGAATTATCTTTGAAAAGCTAAAACTAATCCAAATTGACAAGCCAGATTTATTGAACTGAGAACAGATTTCCTAACTGACTTGTAGTGACTGAATTATTCCTAATTGACCTGTAGTGACTAAATTATTTCTAATTGAATTGTGACAAAATTATTCCTAATTTAATTGTGACAAAATTATTCCTAATTGACCTGTAGTGACTAAATTATTCCTAATTGACCTTTAGTGACTGAATTATTTCTAATTGACCTGTAGTGACAAAATTATTCCGAATTGACCTGTAGTGACTGAATTATTTCTAATTGACCTGTAGTGACTAAATTATTCCTAATTGACCTGCAGTGACTGAATTATTCCTAATTGACCTGCAGTGACTAAATATTTCTTAATTGACCTGTAGTGACTAAATATTACCTGAATGACATGTAGTGACCAAACTAGTCCTACTTTCATTTTCAACTTGCCATCTTCGCACATTAAGTAATGCAGGCTATTTATTATAATTATTCAATGAGTTGTTCAGAGTGACATTTTTCTGACATTTTTCTGCCATTTCCAGCAAACCGATCACTCACCCTACAATTGTCCTGCTGGAAGCTATTGCCCACCTGGCTCTACATCTCCAAAATGGTGCAACACTCCGTTCTTTAAGATTGACTCAACATTAGATGGTTGTGCTGCAACACCAGCATTAATTGGCCTGATTGTTGGTGCTTGTGTTGGTAAGTGTGTGGCATTTACAACTTTTAAACAGGACAAATTGGAACTAATATAATTTATAATATTACAATGAACTGAGCAGACGTGAATAAAGTGCATTGTTCCAAAGTATGTCAAATTTAATTATGTCAGAATTATTTATAACAAAATTATAAACTTAAAACTTAGCTTTTCTTGTCCTATTTAGCCTGTGGTCTAATTTTTAAGTTAAAATCAGTTATTTCAACAGTTTCAAGGCAAAAAATTTAGTATTGTGTACCCACAGATTATCTACCATTATTATTATTCTATTTAGTAAGCTATTGAAATCTTTTGGAACAAAATCTTTTACTAACTTTAAGAATTTAATGGAAAATTACAAAAATACAATTATTTTTATAAAACCTAATATAACAAGAGCGCAAATTCTGAGGAGACCTGTCCTCAAGTACAGTAATACTGGATTGTTTCAGTACATTGTAAAAAGGGGAGTGATAGCAATCAGGTCGGCAAAAAAAGTAAATGAGTAAAATAAAGTATGGTCAAAACTGAAAAAATGAACGCAACAAAACAATGAGCGTTTCGGCAAGAAGCCTTCATTGGCGATTAAACAACAGAAAAAATAGAATAAAATTAGAAAAATGGCTCTTAGCTGAGAAGTTTCATGTCCTATCTCCTGTGTGCTGTCTCCCATGTCCTGTCTCACATGTCCTGTCTCCCATGTTCTGCCACCTGTGTCCAATATCATTTTTTTTATAATTAAAAAAAAAAGAACAAACTTTACCGTCTCAAAATAAATATGAATATTTGTTTTTATTTTTGACAGTGTTGTCAATTGCTGTTGCATTTATAATCTTCAAAGCTGCACGGCATTACCGTAAAAGAAGCCATACAATAAGAATTGAGACCACTGAAAGACAGCCATTGACAGGTGGGGAAGAAAATGCTCCTCCAGTGTACACTGGTTTGTAATACCAAATAGAGATTGGGACATTCCTGCTTACAGACTTAGTTTCATGTTAAGATATTCTGTGCTGTGGTTGAACTTTTTCATTAGCTAGAAGTACTCGAGTGGAGTTTTTAACTAATTGGACTTGAGCGATATCAAGTGATTGATGGTGATTAACATGTAGTTGTGTCAATTTATTACTTATAGTTAAAATAATGTTCATAGACAATAAAACTTTCCTTATTATTAATAGTATTATATTTGCATAGTTATCATTATTCCCTGCTTCATTGTCTTAAACATGATTTTCACATGTAACATTATTTGGCAAGTCTGTAATTAAAAATTTTGTGGATATCTTGATTGCCAGTCTTCAAGATTTGTTTTGTTATTACAATTACATGCCATATTTTTTATTTACCTTATTTTCCCCCTGGAGGATAATAAAATAAAAGTTGAATATTTCATTTATTTTGTTAAACTTGTACACCTTGTGGTCTTGATATCTGGTGGTTCAGATATTTCAATAACACAGTCAAGCTAATTATTCATCCATTCACTTGCCCCGGTTGGCCGTTGCACTGTGTTTATTATAGAAAGCTAGTTCCACACTTCTACATCATTTGTTCATATTTTCTTTTTTTAAAATGCAAATCCAAATCTTAACAAAGAGTTACTTTCATTTTCTATTTTGTGGCACATAAAACAGTTTAAGGTTATTTAACTTCAATAGCTGTGCAGTGCTAACAAAGTATGGAACAGTGTTTTTCCCCATTTCATTAAGACTGTTTTGTTTCAATTGGCGCTGTACTGTTTTGTTTCAATTGGCGCTGTACTGTTTTGTTTCAATTGGCGCTGTACTGTTTTGTTTCAATTGGTGCTGTACTGTTTTGTTTGATTGGCGCTGTACTGTTTTGTTTCGATTGGCGCTGTACTGTTTTGTTTCGATTGGCGCTGTACTGTTTTGAAAAATAAATAAAGGTTAAAAATGTCTTTAACTTTAGTTATGAAGATGTGTTTAAAAATGGTGCTTTATGAGTCTTTCAGCTTTATTGCAGTTGATGAGCATGATTTAAAACTGGTTAAATTATTTTCTCATTTAAAAAGAATGTAGTATCTGCAGTTAAAATTATTCTTATAAATGTACAATGGAAGAGGTTTCTTTGAGATTCAAGATACCGCATATGTTGTAATTATTTGATGGATCTGTATAATAAAAAATAATATCAGATCACTTGTACAGATAGGAGTTAGCCTTTAAGTATGCATTCCTTTTACCGGTATCTATATTTCTCTCATCTGAGCTGAAGCTGTTTTATTATAATGCAATACAGTGTGTGATTAATTATGCCATGTAATATTTTAGTGCCTTTAACTCGATGCATTTATCCGCGTGGTCTCAACGGCACTTACATGGCTAGTCTACATTCTCTCCTATTTTGTTATAATTAAACTATTAATCTTAAGGTGTAGAAATTGTTTTCTCTGTTCTTTGTTTTATCACAACAGACCCAAGTCAGTCGTGTTTTAAAATGTCACATCTAAAACTGTGATACCTTAGACCAAAATTAAAACCTGATCACTGAAAACTTCAAGTTTTCTGTACAAAAAATTAGTTGAAAAATATTTTACTCTTCAGCAACCCATTTACATTTCATTCACAAATATTTCTAACATTGTTTTTTTCGGAACAACGATTTTTTTACACAATCACGTGTACATTTTATCATCGAAGTGGCTATTCGTACCCAGGAACCAGAAGTGAGAGGTTGGGATTAAAACCAACTGAAAATATTATTGTTGGGGTTGTAGGACAAAAAGAGGAATCAAATGAAAGAAAATTGAATGGACTATATGTTTGTAAACTTAATTCTGCAGTTTAAAATGGACCCAAGCATGCAGCGCCGCCATTCGCACCTGGGTACCATTAGACCCATTGCTATTTGGATGTCATTTGTGGTAGTTTATTTAATTGAACTGGAGAAGTAGGTTTACAAACATATAGTCCATTTAATTATCTTTCATTTCATACCTCATTTTGTCTTACAAACCCAACAATATTTTAAATAATTTTTTTAGTCCCAACCTCTCACTTCTGGTTCCCGGGTACGAATAGTCACAGCCTTTTTTCATAATTTTTGAGTTTTTAATTCTTCTCTATGCTATTTCTAAAATACTTCACTGGAATTTTTGTTTTCTGAGATAGATGTTGATTTGAAAAGCTACAAGTGAATCAATGTCTTAGTGTTAGGTAAGGAGTAGTTGGTGTAAGTGGTGGGTCAAATCTTAGTGTTGGGTTAAATGAAGCAAAATATTCAATCCATGTTGACAGTGTGCCATATGGTATTAATGATGTATTACTGTCACATGTTCTTAGCGATGTATTGCTGTCGTATGTTATCAGTGATGTATTACTGTCATATGTTCTTCTAAGTGATGTATTGCTCATAAATAAGTTATTTGTAGAATGCATCTGTATGGACAAACAATACTCAAAATGTAATTTCTGCTCATTTTCAGTGATCATGGATCAACTCATTTGTTGTATAAAATGATAGATTCATTTTCAAACTATGGTTGTTTCTGTCTTTTTTTTTTTTTAAATAAATATTCTTTCATGCTTATTAAATACTTAAAACAAGGATTTTTGAACAAACTTGATTAAATTATTGACACAAAGAACTAAGTTTATTTCCTCAAGTTTAGGGATGAAAGAATGAGGTGACTTTTGTATACTGTAGACATGACAGTTGTTGAATATGTATATAGCAATTCCGATCTTAGGTCAGACTAAACATTTAAAATATAGTAAACAAATTGGACCATCGTTATTATTGATTGGAATCTTATATTATTTATTCCCCAGATGAATTCATGTTTTTTAAATTAAAAATTTTGTGTTATAAATATCACTGTTAATGTAAGCTTCCATTAGATAGATACTATTTTAGATTTTTTGGTAAGGAAAATTAGAAATGGACCAAGTCAAAAATGTTTTCTTTCATTATTTCAAATGACAAGGAACACAGAGATGAAAGAATATTTGCATGTTTTTTTATTATGAGCATACACATCTTTTTCACTCTGATGCACAACTATTCCTATGTTCAACCTAAACAGAATTGAAATGAGGACACAAAATTTTGGTCTCACCAGCTTGGTTTATTGAGGTCATATATACAAACAATAATAAAATTAACAGATCAGAGGAATATTTGTTATCTATTTTGTTTCCCCAGGAGATTTTAAATGAAATTCAACCAAAATAAAATCAATAAATTCACACTAACTAATGATGAATGTCAATGACATATGGGAGGCAGGGATATATTATACTTCCCACACTACTCCTAGTATCTTAACTAATTTCTATATTGATTGGCATGGGAGCCAGGTTTTAGTAAATAGAAAACAATGATTCTTGAGAAAGTGAACAAAAATACCTGACATTATTTGATTTTACCAACATGGCTGTGTAACATTTCTTTGAAATTGGTTTCAACTTCAACAAGGTTGGCTAAATAAAAAAGATGCCATCATTTTGTAGCAGAAAAAGAAGAGAAGAAAAAAAAAAAAAAAGGGGGGGGGGGGGAGGGAGGAGAAAGACAGAATTTGGAGAGAGAGTTTGGATTAGTTTTTCAACTTAAAAATGACAACCATCATAATATGCCTTATTGAATTGGAACAGGACCCTGTTATTTAAATAGATCTTAGAGATGGCACAAAACTGAAGATTTATTTAGGGCTCTCAAATCTCAATGGATCATCAGAAAATAACAACCAAAGCTGAGAGTTGATAGCCTTTTAAGTATTGTTCTGACTCAAGTTGGACATTGACATGTCTCTCTTATTTGTTCCGACTCAAGTTGGACATAGACATGTCTCAATTTAAATAGACAAAACTTTGTTTACAATTAAAAATAAAAACATTTAGTGCAATAGTTGTGGACTAGAAATAAAAATTCAAGACTTAATTTATAACAACATATGACTCACAAAGATGCCATGGTCCATCTTGTTTAACCAAGCCACCTAAAAACATTTCAATATCTATAGCGCATGACTTGTTACAGAGGGAGAATAATATTTGTGTACATTTTCATAGCGTAGAAAATAATGCAATTATTTCATCTGATCTCTGAAATTAGCTTTCTTTTAAAATGAAATGTTCCTAAAAACTTTATTTTATCTCAAGGGTTCATGCTGACATTTCAGGTCTAATGTTATAATTATCAGAACTGTGGATACAGGTAAACCATTTATAAACAAAGTATGTATCATTAGAGGAAATGGATTTCTATAGTGGGACATGTACAATGGTGTCTTCTTACCCTCCCAAATTTCATGAGGATCTTTATTACATAATAGAATTAATAGCCAGACAATTATTTGTTTTAAACAATTTAAATTTCCTTCTTTAAAGATACATCGGCCATATACTACATAATGTTATTTAACTTGGTGACACTATAAGTACTTGACCAGTTGTGACAGTAAATTAATCCTAATGTCCACTAAACTGTGTTGAATAAGTTTGTCAACAAGTACATTGTGAGTACAAGAATGAGTCTCTGAGCAATATTCTTCTCAATAGGAATGATCATATGATGAGCAGAAATGGAGACAAAAAATGGACACTTTGGGGTTTGCTACTGTGGCTGCAGGATTTCACTGACCATTGTGGTGAACTAGAAGACAACAGATAAATCAGGGGATCAGATATTCAGTTATTGCTTGTCATTCAGGCTTTTCTACGCTGTATGCATAGTCAACAGCTGCCTTGTTTAAGCAATATGCTATGTAAAAAAAAAAAATATTTAAATGCAAATTTTGCGCAAGTAACAAGTGTAAGCTTTAATTCTTCCCACTTGATGTACACAATTATTGACATATTTTTTAAAGTAAATGACAAATAACAAAGAAATTCAATTTAAAAAAAAAATAAAATCAATTCTGACATGACTGCTTCCCACTCAAAAATTGACATGAATGAAATAAGTGAATGTTCCAAAGAATTAAATACAAGCAATGAACCAGGACAAAAGGCTGAATGTCAAGGAATCCGTCAGATTTTATGAGCTGGTCTAAGATTGAGATGATGCTCCTCCCCTGATCTGACTTGCCTCCCCCATCAATGTGTGTAGCATCTGTGTCAATTGGTCATTGCCCAGATCACTAACAATGCTCTCACTATTGTTCTCTGGCTCTGAGAAAGACAAAACATATTCTTCACACTGGACATGGCACTAACAAAGTATGGAGGAAAATAAACTAACATCTTACCAGCTATACACAAATAAAGTTGGGGAAATATTTTTTTGCAATAGGAAAATTTAGGGAAATTACACTAGAAAAAAAAGAAATTGAAAAGGTGTAAATGTAATTCCAACACAATTATGAGATGCCATATTTATAAGGAAGTATCATTTTAAGTCACTGATTCCAATAGTGTCACTTATGTTGAAGAAAGTATAATCATATTTCAACTTATCCTCTCAAATGGATAGAAGTTGAAAAGTATTTGTTGAACGTATTTGGCTATCAATGGTACACCAACTAACCTATCAGTGGAGTCTCTTCATACAGTGAACTCTTCCTGACAAACAACGGAATTTTACGTCTAGTTGGAGCTCTCAGATCCATTAGTTCATCACAAGCATGTTTCCATAGAGCTGAGAAAAATTAAATTGTACACAAGAAGATAAGAAACAAAGAAATTTCGATTATTAACATTTTCTCCGGGTACATTAAATAATAAAATTGTTATGTAGATCGCATAAGTCTTGGTCTACCGTAAGCTCAACTAGAATGAATTAGGTAAAAATAAGCTTTAAACATGAATAAATCTCTGATGACTATCTGATGACCTTGATCCAGTAAGTGCTGCTGGAAACCTTCCCACCATTTGTTCAACTCTTCCTTTGTGTCAGCAGCCAGAGTGTGACAGAATATGCCGTTTATGTTGACAGTCTTGATGAGGAATGAATGCGGCTTTTTACTTGTGCTGGGGTCGGCATCACTGATTTGTGTACTCTGTCGGAAAGATGGGTCATGTGTGTTGGACATTTATTAGGTTAATTAAAATGTAACTAGAAGTTCATTCAACAAGTTCATGTTTTATAGTCGGCCAGTTTCTCATTTGTGTACATACTAACATAAACTGTGTAAATCAATTATAAACATTGTGTGTGTGTATCACATATACACCATTTGTGTACATCACTCATATGAGTCATATACACCGTCAATCTACCTGGCATTGACAACCATTATCACAGTTAATTTGCCCATCTTACTTTGGTTACTGGTATAGACAACAACGGCTGAATGACTTCCACGTCATCAGGACTAGACCAACAGGACAACTGAAGGTTTTTCAGGGAACACCAATAACGTTTCCACTTGGACAAATCATCATCCTCCTGAAGTTAAACAAGTATAAGATTGAGTGATGCAATGGTAAAACAAAAGTGAACATTGAGTGATGCAATGGTAAAACAAAAGTGAACATTGAGTGATGCAATGGTAAAACAAAAGTGAACATTGAGTGATGCAATGGTAAAACAAAAGTGAACATTGAGTGATGCAATGGTAAAACAAAAGTGAAGATTGAGTGACATAATGGTGAAAATAAATCCATAAATTCAATAATTTAAAAATGTTTACGAGATAAAATTTTATTGTGACAGGAAGTTTATAAGTTGTAATTATAGGACCTTATTAGTTGTAGTGACAGGAAGAATCAGATGTTATGGCCTGGGTGGTGACCAAATTTTTAAAGTCAAATTCAACGTAGAACTGAGCGTCTATCACTTATCTCCCCTTTTTATTTTGTTATTGACGTCACAAATTAAATGTGTAGCGATATTCCATTACCCGCCCCATCCTTGATTGGGAAAGATTTTTTATGTTCTAATTTGTTCCAAAGAATGCTATCGGGTGATGTAATTTCTAGAATTTCTTTTCTTTGGGTTCTAGCTCCCTCCCTATAAATAAGCAGACAGCTTTCCCAACTGGAAGAGATTTTTCTTTGTATACTGATTTTTAGTCCTTTGTTATGTCTTTTTCAAATGTTCATTTAAAGAGCCAAATCTTAAAACTGACTAAATTTGCAAAACCATATAAAAGTATGTAAAAAATGTAGTGACAGGAAGTTATATATTATAGTGACAGGAAGTTATATAATTATAGTGACAGGAAGTTATATATTATAGTGACAGGAAGTTATATATTATAGTGACAGGAAGTTATATATTATAGTGACAGGAAGTTATATATTATAGTGACAGGAAGTTATATATTATAGGGACATTATTAGTTGTAGGGACAGATTTAAAATAAAAATGACAAACCTGTAAGTTGAGGAACCCAGTGACTGTGGGCTGGATGAGGCAGTGAGGTAGGGCAGCCAACCTACAGCAGTAGTGTCCAAACAAGGGCAGTTCATGGACTTGACCATCTGCAAATGTAAACCAGGAATAGTTAAAATAACTGATACTACTTTGAATTTGAACAAAAATATGTGGTAGACCATGCATGTAGATGTTATTTAAACTATTGTATATGACAATACCTGCAGTGGTTTCTAGCTGAAGGTCAAATGTTCGGACTGAGTTGTCGACGTCTGATAAGTGCAACGACCCTTTGGCAACAAGTTCAAATTTTGGTCCCCTGTATTTAGAAATGGTTTTCTATGATGAAATTATATTTTTTATTTACCCATATATTTTAATATCAATAAAATTTAATTAATAAACCATATATTATTGTTTTTTATAAGAATGTAGAGCTTTGTCAATTGCATGCATAAATATTGTTTAGCTGCTAACTTCAAAGTTTTTAACTTAAAGGAGCCAGGACAGGGGTCTGGAACCTATGGCCTGTGAGCCAGATGTGGCTCGATTGATGGCTGCATCTGGCTCGCAGACAAATGCTCGATAATAAAAAGATTGTTTCTTTAGACTCCTTTGATCTCCATATGAATTGCACATCAACATTTCATTCTACAAATGAGCTCAAGTCTACTGCAGCTCAGCATCAGAAGTGGATTTTTTAGTTTTAAACATAATGTATGGCTCTCACAGAATTACTTTTCAAAATATGTGGTGTCCATGGCTCTCTCAGACAAAAAGGTTCCCGACCCCTGAGCTAGGAGAACTATTTATTGAGAATGTTATACAGCCCTTACTATTATTATTTAGGCATTTTTGTATAGCGCTTACCTTACAGCTCTAAGCGCTTTACAATTATTAAAAATATGTAATCTACTTAAACTGCTAAAGCAAAATAAAAATGAAAAACCAGAGACACTAGAATAGTACTACAATGTGAAAAATGACTATAAAAACAGTAGCTAAAACATTAAAATGGCTTATATAGTAGAAAGTAAATTTGACACTCACAGCACCATATTTCCAATAACATCGGCATCATTCTGAAACAATCAAGAAAAATTAACTAAGAAAGCAATTTCTTCTAAAAAATAAACAGTATCAATATCTTAATTAAACTCCCATGACAGGTTTGGAAAACTAAAAGACATAATTGTACTACTAAAATGACATATTTGTATAGCTGAAATGACACAATTGTAAAACTCAAATGACACATAGGTAAACTAAAATGACACAGTTGTAAAACTCAAATGACACAGTTGTAAAACTCAAATGACATCTTTGTAAAAGAATGAGGACATGAACCAGGTTCATTGTCTTACCAAGCCAGAAAGGCGTTTTCCTACACTACGACCAACTGAGCCAGATAAGTCGTTGATCTTCTTACGAAGCTTTTTGGGTGTATTTGCTACAGAGAAGTCTTCATGAAGTTTGTGACAGTAGACTTCAACTTTCATATCAAAGTCATGAGGCACATCATCACTGTATTAGCAGAGAAGAGAAATACAATTAGGTAGAGATACAGTAAAAGTGTACACAAATCAAATAAAGCATAATTAATAAAATGAAATAAACAAAAAAAAAAGAGAATTATTTTTAATAAGAGCTTTAGGCATCAACACTTCCATTACAGAGAAGTTTTATTATCTCCCTTGCACTTCATTCTTTTAGCTTAGAAACAAAAAATGTTACCAGGTGTAATTATGCTGTTGTTCATGTAATTTAATCAAATATCAACACTGAAAAACACATTTTTGTAAGACAAAATAGCAATAGGTGAATAGCGTATATAAATAGTTGATAAGGGATGTGAATAGTTGATTAGAGATATCATTATTTGATTGGAGATGTGAATAGTTGATTGGAGATGTGAATAGTTAATTGGAGATGTGGATGAGCTTACAAAAGTATGACATCCTCAAATGTGATATCGGTCATGCTTCTATCAACATCACTGATCATGGATGTGTCATAGATCTCTGTTCCCACTTTTAACATACAAAAAACAGCATAGCGACGATAATCTGTGAGAAATAAAAATTATTCAAATCAAAGTATACATACATTATGTTTTTAAATTTTTTTGTTTACAAATGCATTTTTGTCAATTTAAATAAATTTATTACCGTTTTTAAGTGGGGAAATATCCACAAGTTAAAAAAAAAACAAAACTTATCTAAATAATATTGAACACGTGTGTAGTCTTTTTAGTGTGTTCATGTAAGGAAAAAATGTCTTTTTGATCCTTCCTTGACAAGAGTTGAATGTTTTAGTAGGTAGAAACAGCTGATGTACCTCCTTTGTTCTTGAAATGATCAGCATCTCTCCACATCAATGGAATACGGATGTCTGCACAGACAAAGACAAATAACTTCTAATCAAATTATAATAATTGGTTAACAATTTCAGTCAGATATTTGTGTTTAAACCATGCTTTAAAACAATAAGACAATTTAAAAGACTTTTATAATTCAATACAATCCCCTACAAATAAGTCTTGAAATAAACCAAGAAAAATAAAGATAAGAAAAAATATATGAAAAAACAGCTCATTATTAACCTTACCTGAGACACTGACTTGAGCACCACATGGTAGCTGATTGCCTTCCACAGAACTGTAGAATACGGGAAATAAAGGCAATATAAGATACAATAGAACTGAATTATGGGTGAAGAAATATATGATACAAAAGAACTGTATCATAGCTGGAAAAACCAGAAGATACAACAATATGGTATCATAGGTGGAGAAATATAAGTTACAACACAACTGTATTATAGGTGAAGAAACAGAAAAAAATATAAGGTACAAAGGGACGATTGGTAAGTTTATAATATTGAGAAAGAACCCCCCCAAAAAAGAAAGAAAATAAAAGATAATGGGTTTTTGATATAAAGTAATCAATGAAATAGTTTTAATATAACAATTAATGTTTCAGTTTACTTGTAAGGCACACACATGTTTATCCAAGATCTGCAAGGGAATACATAAAGACAAGTGTCACAATAAGTTCATATTGAACTAAAATTCTTTGAGGTTCATGGAGAGACATTTTTATTGAATTTCTCATAAAATATATTATAGCTAAGGCCAGCCTATTTATTATAATTATAGGTCAACTTTTGAGCCTCTGAGTGGGAAGGGGAAGAATCTCTGGCTGTAAAATGTAGATCTGCCCAAATCTTTAGGTTATTATGTTGGTGCACACACTCTAGACCTTATGTGCTGACATGTAGATGTTCTTATTAAGGTCTAGGAAAACATGGGAAAAGTTAAATTTTAAAAAAAAAGCTTTAAAAAAAAAAAATTGAAACAAAGTTTAAAAAACTAGAGCTGCACTTGAATTAGGATGTGTGTGTCAAAGTATTAGGACTTGTAAAATATGAGTATTAGGACTTGTAAATAAATGTGTATCAGGACTTATAAATATGTGTATTAGAATTGTATAAATATATGTTTCCTATGTAAGAAATATTTTTAAAGGCTATATATGACACTTGCAGTTTACTAAAAGTGCTCTATTTTGAAATGAAAGGGGAGACAACTACTGACATCCCATCAAAACAGAAGCAGTAGACTTTATGTAAGTTAACCATCCAGGTGTTAAGTCTGTCAAAGGTGAAAGGATTGTGCACACAACAGAACCCATTAAGTGATACCTCCAATTGAATCTGGTAACCTAACAGTGCTAACACTGCAGATGATAGAAACCTTGACCTTGATCAAAGTCTCATTCAGTTTTTCATTTCCCAAAAATTAATTAATACTATGTTTATAAATTAAAAGTAGAAAATAACAAATCAGTCATTTCTTTACTTATAATTCTCTGCTCTACCATCAATAAGACTGAGTCCAGTCATTTCTTTAATAATAATTCTCTACATTCTCATCAATAAGACTGAGTCCAGTCATTTCTTTACTAATAATTCTCTATACTACCATTAACTAAAGTGGGGCATTTCTTTATTTCTCCCCTAAACATACTCTGCACTCTCTTACTCTCCCCAACTTACTCTGCACTCTCATTTCCCTCTCCCTAAAGTTACTCTCACTCTCCTCCTCACCTGTTACTTCTGATCTTTTGGCTCTTTGAGGGAATAGATTTGGCTCTTATTCTTTTACTTACACATAATTCATTATGATATGCCCAAAATATTTTCTTAGCAGATATAGTTTATAACAATGGCTTCTTACTCAAAGAAGGTGGCTTTCCCTTGCCCTAGAGCCGATTTCTCTGTCAGTTCATGTAGAACTCTCTTAGTTAAGACCAACATGTAGAACTCTCTTAGTTAAGACCAACATGTAGAACTCTCTTAGTTAAGACCAACATGTAGAACTCTCTTAGTTAAGACCAACATGTAGAACTCTCTTAGTTAAGACCAACATGTAGAGATCTCTTAGTTAAGACCAACATGTAGAACTCTCTTAGTTAAGACCAACATGTAGAACTCTCTTAGTTAAGACCAACATGTACTCTTACCTTTGTTTTCCGAGAACTTCAGCTGTTTTTCTTCGCTGCAGTTCGGTCATGTAAGCAATGATGCGTGTGTTGGAAGACAATAAATTTTTGGCAGCTTCCAGGACCTGGGCCGGGTGTTTGCTAGCCACCAGAAGCCGAGCCGTCCCCTCCCTCATTTTGATCTCATGGTCAATCTTCTGCTGCAGGTCATGGTCCTATTGGTCAAACAAATTGATGGATTCACTAAGTGATATTACAATGTATGTTGCCATTCTACATATCAACACTTTATTTCTAGAACATTACTATGACCCCATTAAGTTTGTATGAAGGATGAGAATTGGTTGAAAAGGTTAACACTAGAATACTTCTTACAGTGATAGAAGACAATGCTTAATGTACACATGTCCTCAAATACATAAAATGATTTCCAGTGTTTTATAGACAGGTCACCTGGGTGTTTAAAATATGTGTCAAGAGAAGCAACCATTGGTATGCGACATTGAAATAAATTGAACAAACAACCAAAGCACCTTCACTTTGGTTTTATATTAAGTATGAGACGATAGAGAGTTACATCTATTAGGGCTTATAATAGCAACAATGGTTTGTATCTTTGTGTGTCCTTATAGAGGAAATCACAGAGGGTCTTGTCATTTTCAACATCATTACTATGTCAGGAAATGCATTTCTACATAATTAACAGATGATTGGTTGTTGATTTTCAAAACTGGTTTTCCAATTATTCTTAACATGATTTAAACAAAGAAGAAAAGAATCTAGATTATAAAATAATAATAAACCAGTGGTAAATGTATATCTATTATTACTTAATTTAAAAAATATTTTTTTAAAATGCAGTATAAAGTTATAAAATTGGTAGGCTACCCCCATTATGATTCATTAGCATCCTATAGCTGACCATAGTACATTCCGTATAGATATCAACTGACATGACTGCATTGGGCGGCGGCATTGTATTGCAAGTGTGATAGATATTAACAAGTTAGCTAATCCCCCACCATTGACAAAAACTACAATACTACAATGTATTTTCTCCACATACTCTCCCTACCTCTGTGGATGGTACGGTCCTATAAAATATCTCATTGGAAAAACCAAAAACCAGATCTCTAAATCATAAAAAACCTATTTGCAAAACCAACCAAAAAAAAAAAAATAAAAAAAATATAAAGTTAAAAAATCCCTACCCATACACCAGTTATTGGCCAGTTAGAGAATCAAGTTACAGTAGTTCCCAGTTAGAGAATCTAGTTACAGTAGTTCCCAGTTAGAGAATCTAGTTACAGTAGTTCCCAGTTAGAGAATCTAGTTACATTAGTTCCCAGTTAGAGACTCTAGTTACAGTAGTTCCCAGGAACCAGAACTCTTACCGAGATCATTTGAATAGCACAAGTTCCAGGAGGTAAAACATCAGGTAAACTAACATAACGGAGAATCTTCTTCCTTGTCCTAACACTGGCGACACTACCACTGATCACATCATTGCTTCGATTAACTTCACACATCTTGGCAATAATCAAAGCTTAAAGCACTAAATAGTTGACAGGCAGTTATTCAATTGTTCTGTGTATGTCAAAAAACAAGTGTGCTATAAATAACTTCCACATTAAGCACTGTTTAACATTAAGAAACTGACACACAAATGTTAATTGGATATTGCAAATAGAACACTATGAAAGCATAAAAAAATCTAACTGAATTCTAGCATTCAGTAGCACAGAGTCAAATGAGTCAATGTCCATCACACAAAATTAAATAGGGACCCATCACATGCTAATCAACAATTTCCATAATAAGGATGCTAACCAGTGGTGTCCAACCACTGGGCACAGGAAGGCTACTAATGCGCCCAACACAAAATCTTAAGCCTACAAACTTTGTGAGATTGCGACTTGACGCATTGATACTGAATATATTATCACGTAAGAAAATGTCTTCTCTAGTGCCATGAAAGACACAACTAAATCAAGATATTTATACGAAGCACTGAACAATATACAATAAAGTGATATTCTTTTTCCCTTGTGAACATATCTGGTATAGCTACTGATGGTGCTCCCGGAAATGATAGGTCAAAGAGATAGACTTGCAAAATGAAAAGAAGACGGATGCAAATTTACTTATGATGAAATATCGATGCATGGTATACAAAGAAAATATATGCACAAAAGCTTTAAAGATGGATAACCAAGTTGTACACCCATGCGGTAAACTTTCATAAGGGCCAAAGGATTGATTTATTGCCTATTCTAGGCATTACTTCAATTTAAGGTGATGACAATGAAAACATAATTTACCCTCAAGTAAGTTGGTTAATTCAAGATGAAATGTTGAAAAGATTTTATGAATTGTCAAATGAAAAAATCAAGCTGTTTAATTAATTAATAACAAAACAAATTTGTGCCAGAACTTGAACACGAAAAGTGGCTCCTTAATTTTCCATTTTAAGTAGACTTGACCACACATTTAAATAAGTGAAATATTAGTCTTCAATGTGAAAAACCAACACAGAATAATGTTTCAAACTATAAAAGCCTTCTGAAAAATAAATTTTGGCAATCTCAAATTAAGGCACACAATCAGTGGCGTTGGAAGAGGGGTGAGGAGAGGATGGTCCGCCCCAGTTGGCCCCAACTCTTGCTACAACTGTGCAAGCAATGTTTTATTTTTATTTTGACACATTGGCTCAACACCTCCTGTAAACAAAGAAAAATATTCAGAGTTCTTTGCTTTTTGATTTGATAAAGGAATTTGAGAACAGGTTTCAAAATTTCCTGAATAATCTTGTGTTAAATTTGTGGCTCCATTTTCAGTTATCATAAATACATAACCTGCCAATTTTAACATGAAATGTATAGAGCTCTTTGAAAGGATTTAAATTTGTGACCAACTATTTGGAAGCACCTACATTTGTGACCAACTATTTGGAAGCATCTACATTTGTGACCATTTGGAAGCACCTACATTTGTGACCAACTATTTGGAAGCATCGACATTTGTGACCATTTGAAAGTACCTACATTTGTGACCAACTATTTGGAAGCACCTACATTTGTGACCAACTATTTGGAAGTATCTACATTTGTGACCAACCTTTTGGAAGCACCTACATTTGTGACCAACTATTTGGAAGCACCTACATTTGTGACCAACTATTTGGAAGCCCCTACATTTGTGACCAACTATTTGGAAGCATCTACATTTGTGACCATTTGGAAGTACCTACATTTGTGACCAACTATTTGGAAGCACCTACATTTGTGACCAATTATTTGGAAGCATCAACATTTGTGACCATTTGGAAGCACCTACATTTGTGACCAACTATTTGGAAGCATCTACATTTGTGACCATTTGGAAGCACCTACATTTGTGACCAACTATTTGGAAGCATCTACATTTGTGACCATTTGGAAGTACCTACATTTGTGACCAACTATTTGGAAGTACCTACATTCGTGACAAACTATTTGGAAGCACCTACATTCGTGACCAACTATTTGGAAGCACCTACATTTTTGACCAACTATTTGGAAGCACCTACATTTGTGACCTACTATTTGAAAGCACCTACATTTGTGACCAACTATTTGGAAGCATCTACATTTGTGACCATTTGAAAGTACCTACATTTGTGACCAACTATTTGGAAGCAACGACATTTGTGACCATTTGAAAGTACCTACATTTGTGACCAACTATTTGGAAGCACCTACATTTGTGACCAACTATTTGGAAGTATCTACATTTGTGACCAACTATTTGGAAGCACCTACATTTGTGACCAACTATTTGGAAGCACCTACATTTGTGACCAACTATTTGGAAGCACCTATATTTGTGACCAACTATTTGGAAGCATCTACATTTGTGACCATTTGGAAGTACCTACATTTGTGACCAACTATTTGGAAGCACCTACATTTGTGACCAATTATTTGGAAGCATCAACATTTGTGACCATTTGGAAGCACCTACATTTGTGACCAACTATTTGGAAGCATCTACATTTGTGACCATTTGGAAGCACCTACATTTGTGACCAACTATTTGGAAGCATCTACATTTGTGACCATTTGGAAGTACCTACATTTGTGACCAACTATTTGGAAGTACCTACATTCGTGACAAACTATTTGGAAGCACCTACATTTGTGACCAACTATTTGGAAGCACCTACATTTGCTACCCTTATTTGGAAGCACCTACATTTGTGACCAACTATTTGGAAGCACCTACATTTGTGACCAACTATTTGGAAGCACCTACATTTGTGACCATTTGGAAGCACCTACATTTGTGGACAACTATTTGGAAGCACCTACATTTGTGACCAACTATTTGGAAGCACCTACATTTGTGAATATTTGGAAGCACCTACATTTGTGGACAACTATTTGGAAGCACCTACATTTGTGACCTACTATTTGGAAGCACCTACATTTGTGACCAACTATTTGGAAGTACCTACATTTGTGACCAACTATTTGGAAGCACCTACATTTGTGACCAACTATTTGGAAGCACCTACATTTGTGACCAACTATTTGGAAGCACCTACACGGCAAACTATTTACAATGATGTAGCACAGGAGAAATAAAACTAGAACCAAAATTTCTGATGAGCACCCTGAGAACTCACTGAGAATTACAGCTCCTTTCATGGAACTAAAAACTATTGTAACATTAGTGTCACTAAAACAATTTCAAACATCTTTCTGTCTTGTCTTTTACTTTAGGAATTAATCATCAGTGTTAGTGCACATATTTGGGGCCAAAAAAATATATCTTCGTCTTCCAATGAGGCCCTTAGAGGCTAAAAGGTTGTACAACCCTGTGCTAAAAAAGATTTAAGAAAACGACAATCATGTCACAGTGTGACTCCCAGCAACTCTTTAAAACAAAAGCATTTTATTACCACACCAAAAGCCAGCATAGGACCACAAGGCACCCTATGACCTCATGCATTATCTGGCCTCAATGCATCATATGACCACATGGAACATTGTTACCACACCTCAAGGCATCCTATGACATCAAGGCACCCTCTGACCACACCACAAGGCATCATTTGACCTCAAAGCACCATATGACCACACCACATGGCATCCTATGACCTCAAGGCATCCAATGAACACATGGCATTCTACCACAAGTCATTCTATGACCACATCATTTTACATAAGGGATAATTGAGTAACCATCCTATGACCTCAAGGCACCATACGAGCACACCACATGGCATCGTATGACCTCATGGCACCCTATGACCACAAAGCACCTCGTGACCACACACCATATGGAATCCTATGACCCCAAGGCATCAAATGAACACAAGGTATCCTACCACAAGTCACTCTATGAACACACCATTTTACATAAGGGATAATATGACTAACCACCCTAGGACCACAAGGCATCCTAGATATTGCCTCTGTGACTCAAGGTAATTAACTGAGGCCTGGTATATTCAATCTTATTCCTATTATGCACACCATACAATGTAGTGCCCATACAGTGTACATGAGTTTCAGAACGAGAGAACAATTAACACCACTCCAACACTGGCAGGCTAGACTGATGCTGTTGAGGGAAATGTTTTGAGGAGGCCCTGAGTGGCACGGGAAGTAGGTTAATGGGGAGTGCACGTCTTGAGAGCATGTTGAGAAAGTTGGAGTGAAAGTTGGCTTGTAGGCTGTGAAAGCCTGCTTGTGGATCGCCTTCTGCATTATGAGAATGTATTAAATGGACCAACTCCGTCTAGATATAACATTGACCAACTCGGTCAAAGTATAACATTGACCAACTCAGTCAAGGTATAACATGGACCAACTCAGTCAAGTTAAAACTTGGACCAAATCAGTCAAGGTATAACATGCACCAACTCAGTCACGGTATAACAAGGACCATCTTAGTCAAGATATAAAATGGGTCAACTCAGTCAAAACATATCAAGGACCAACTCAGTCAAGATATAACAAGGACCAACTCAGTCAAGGTATAACAAAGACCAACTCAGTCAAGTCAGTCAAGGTATAACAATGACCAACTCAGTCAAGGTATAACAAGGACTAACTCAGTCAAGGTATAACATGGACCAACTCAGTCAAGGTATAACATGGACCAACTCAGTCAAGGTATAACATTGACTAACTCGGTCAAGGTATAACATGGACCAACTCAGTCAAGGTATAACATGGACCAACTCAGTCAAGGTATAACATGGACCAACTCAGTCAAGGTATAACAAGGACCAACTCAGTCAAGGTATAACAAGGACCAACTCAGTCAAGGTATAACAAGGACCAACTCAGTCAAGGTATAACATGGACCAGCTCAGTCAAGGTATAACATGGACCAACTCAGTCAAGGTATAACAAAGACCAACTCAGTCAAGGTATAACATGGACCAACTCAGTCAAGGTATAACATGGACCAACTCAGTCAAGGTATAACAAAGACCAACTCAGTCAAGGTATAACATGGACCAACTCAGTCAAGGTATAACATGGACCAACTCAGTCAAGGTATAACAAGGACCAACTCAGTCAAGGTATAACAAAGACCAACTCAGTCAAGGTATAACATGGACCAACTCAGTCAAGGTATAACATGGACCAACTCAGTCAAGGTATAACAAGGACCAAATCACTTGAACGAATTCAACTCCGAAACCGTTATAGAATTATTAATTTTAAATCCAATTTTTTTTTTAAGAAATCGAAGATGAACTAAACTAAAGATCCATATTTGAAATGTAAACTGACTCTATAAACTGTTGGCATCAGACTATTAAATTAACAAGCGTAATGGATGGGCAAACACATGTTGACTGGCCTGAGGCGAGGACCACCGTTACTGGTCTGCTTGACGGTCGTGGTTCTGGCTGGTCCCCTTACACGGCACTTTGCTAGTCGTTTCATGTGGGGCAGATCTACATATTGGTTCATACAGATCACTGAGTCATCGGATGACGCCAAGTTAGCATCAGGTATGACACCCTGGTGTCTCACATTTTAAACGTGGACTACTCGCTGGACCATAGCAAATATTGGTAAGAACGTACATTTGACCAATATCAAATATTGGTAGGAATATACACGTGACCAAAGTCAAATATTGAAAGGACCAATCACGGGGCAATATCAAATATTGATGAGACCATACACTTGACCAATACCAAATAATGGTAGGGCCATACCAAATATTGGTAGGACCACTCAGATGACCATAACAATATACTGATCAGGCTGTACCAATATTTAACAAGAATAGACCACATGTGAGTCATTATTTTACCAAACTAAACCACACAAGACTCACATATTAGTGAACACCAGACTAAACCACACGAGACTCACATATTAGTGAACATCAGACTAGACATACGACTGTGACATACATTTGATCTCCTAATTGAGAAAGTATCCAATCAAAACAAGTCTGGCACGTGAACTGTTTGACTGATCATCGAAGTCACACAAAAGAATTCCAGCCCATTCATTGAACTGTAAATAATGTCTTGTTTTGCTCCACAGTATAAACAGCCTGACACTGAACCTATAAACAATGTCTTGTTTTGCTCCACAGTATAAATAACTAGACACTGATAGACACGTTGCTCAAATAATATACAAGCAGCACTGAGATAGATTTCCACATCAGGAAATTTCCTAGTTTGCCAAGCTAATATTTTTCAAATCATATATTATTTCTTGTCTATCTAGCTAAACAAAGTTCTGCTGAAATAAGCTCAGTGAGAAGTAACTCGGCTCAGAGAGTAGGTAGCCCTGCTGAGAGCAATTGGCACGAGCAGTTCCCTTGGAGCACTCACTCTCAGCACAGACCATGGTGTATGTCACAGACGGGGGAAAACAGAAAATGTCGTGGGGCAGGTGATGGTATTTGTGTGTGGTGGTGTGCGTGTGAGGAGAGAGAGAGAGAGAGAGGGTGTGTGGAGTGTGAGGAGAGAGAAGGGCTCAGAGAGTTTGACTTAGGTAGTAAACAAGTTCGGAGTGGTTGTATTTGATCTGACGCTGACACGCACGTACTGGGTGCTAAAACATTGAATTCATTTTATGTAAAGTTCAAACACAATGTGTATGTTGCGTAAGATTCCTTTAATGTAACCACTGGCGGACACGTTGAAGGTGTAGAACACATGCGGGGAAAGAAAAGAATCCATCTGGTATATTATATAACGGACGTTGTGTTGAAATAAAAGCATCCAGTAAATGAGAGCTGAACAATGCTTGGAATAACATTAGGGTGCTTCATTGTCAGATGTCATCATCAACAAAGGTTTTTCATTAGGAACCGGCAATGAAATACATTCGTCATTCACTGTAGCACAATACTAGGAACTTGTTACAGTCACATCGTATGAACCAGCCACTAGCACTAAACTATGACCTTGTTACAGTCACATTGTATGAACCAGCCACAAGCACTTAACTATGACCTTGTTACAGTCACATCTTATGAACAGGGCCACAAGCACTAAACTATGACCTTGTTACAGTCACATTGTATGAACCAGCCACTAGCACTAAACTATGACCTTGTTACAGTCACATTGTATGAACCAGCCACAAGCACTTAACTATGACCTTGTTACAGTCACATAGTATGAACCAGCCACTAGCACTAAACTATGACCTTGTTACAGTCACATCGTATGAACCAGCCACAAGCACTTAACTATGACCTTGTTACAGTCACATCGTATGAACCAGCCACTAGCACTAAACTATGACCTTGTTACAGTCACATCTTATGAACCAGCCACTAGCACTAAACTATGACCTTGTTACAGTCACATCTTATGAACCAGCCACAAGCACTAAACTATGACCTTGTTACAGTCACATAGTATGAACCAGCCACTAGCACTAAACTATGACCTTGTTACAGTCACATTGTATGAACCAGCCACAAGCACTTAACTATGACCTTGTTACAGTCACATTGTATGAACCAGCCACAAGCACTAAACTATGACCTTGTTACAGTCACATCGTATGAACCAGCCACTAGCACTAAACTATGACCTTGTGCTAGAAGACAACAATGAAAAGGGAAACTGCTGCTGTCTCGTAAACTGAATATAAATACTCTCTATAGCACAGTGGTCCCCAGACTTTTTATCGCCGCGGACCGGACAACGTTTGATAATTTTACCGCGGCCCACTGAGGGGTTGAGGGTGTTGATTGTTTATATTTTGGAATGTTTTAATTTATAATTTGGTTCTCGCTGTGACTGCCCTCTTTGCCCCATTCTCAAAGCTCTGCCTGAGGGCAACATGGCACCCAGAGCGACGCATTATATGGGGACCACTGGGCTGGCCAAATTGTCGGCTTTATAAACACGCGACTAATTTTTTTTTTTAAATATCCTGTGACGTCACAATTACCCATAAAAAATTGTTTGATGTCTTTGTTTTTTTTAAATAGGGATGGGGGCTAAAAGCTCCTTGGACGCAGCAGTTTGGGGGTGGGGAGTGCCCCAACCTTTAAAAAAATCAAGCAAAATACCCCCCCCCCCCCAAACCAGCCTGTATGTTTCCGGTTGCTGTGACCCTTTGTGTCCGTACATCCTTACTTATCCAGACAATCTGGTAAGCTTATAAAATGGAAATAATTTAATGTTTCTTGGGCGCCCCGGTACTATTAGGGGTGGGGAGTGCCCCAACCTTTAAAAAAATCAAGCAAAATACCCCCCCCCCCCCCAAACCAGCCTGTATGTTTCCGGTTGCTGTGAGCCTTTGTGTCCGTACATCCGTACTTATCCAGAAAATCTGGTAAGCTTATAAAATGGAAATAATTTAATGTTTCTTGGGCGGCCCGGTACTATTTGATCCAGGGACCGGTACCGGTCCACGGCCCGGGGTTTGGGGACCACTGCTATAGCAGACCCGACCAGGAATGAGTGAGTGAGTGATATATGTGAATACATATATATATATATATATATATATATGCGTGTGTGTGTGTGTATGTATGTATATATATATATATATATAAAGAGTGAGAGAGAATTTAAGGTATGAAAGAAAAAAACAACACCATGAATTAATAGGAAAGAAGCAAACAAGAGAGAAACAACCACACAAAAAAAGAAAGAAAGTAGGAAATTGATCAGTTCTAAAATGAACTGGCCAAGTTGTCCACAAGCCCCTGGCTAAACGTAGGTCAATCAATCATGAGCTGATAGAGAAGCATCCTTGTCCTTGTTAGCGGCCCAGCGCTTTTCTATCTTGTGGCTCGTTAACCACACCTCATCAAGAAATAAGACAGTCAATGGGATTCTTTTACAGCAATGGTTCTTCTTTTGGAGCTGTTGGCTCCTACACTTATTACTTGGGGTCTATAAAGGGGGGAAAGTGGGACCACCCCACCCCACAGCCCACAATGGAGGCACGGGTTAATTTATGCATTTTTCTATCAACCAATTTTAGCTTTGAAAATACTATTTTATGGAGAGAATGCGCTGAATTTCAAGCTACGTAGGGTCAAAGGAGAGCTCATCAAATCGTAGACAATTATAGTGTTCGTCCGTCGAAGATCGACGATGACCATCGAGTCGTCCGGTGTCTGATGACTTGCTCTAGTGACTTTTGTTTAAAGTGAGGAAGAGTTGCGCGGCGTCTACCTCACTCTCTCGTCCGAGCCCACCATATCCTATGGCAAGACTCTATGTTAAGACGACCAGGGATGGGTACGGTTGCAGGAGTTGTCTGCGCCTTACGGGACTCCAACTCTGGGTTTGAATTCGGAGTTTCCTTCTCTTAGATGAGTTGCCGACCAAGGTTAACGGGTCTCATCCAATTGTATACAATTAAAGCTACGTAGGGTCACAGTAGAGATCACCAAAGCGTATACAATTTAAGCTACTTGAATTTAAGCTACTTGGGGTCACACAGAGGTCACCAAATCGTACGCAATTAAAGCTATTTAATGTCACACAGAGGTCACCAAACGTACGCAATTAAAGCTACATAGGGTCACACAGAGGTCACCAAGCGTAGACAATTAAAGCTACGTAGGGTCACAGAAGAGGTCACCAAGCGTAGACAATTAAAGCTACGTAGGGTCACAGAAGAGGTCGCTAAGTCGTTATCCAATTAAACGAGACAAATACTGCTCCATTAAATTATTAAAACCTAATTAAAATTTTCAACACGTTCAAAATGTAAAGTCCAATCTTAGCTCCCGGGTCGCAAGACAAGAGGTGATGGGTCGGATTTTGGCCGGGGGCCGACTAGTTATCCGACCCATCCACTAGACCAGGGTCGGCAACCTACGGCACGCGTGCCAGACTTGGCATGCATAGTGATTTGCATTGGCACGAGAAATACCAACAAATAATTCTTAATGACTATACCACGGGTGGGCAACCCAAATGAGTTCACGGGCCACTGATCGCGAGTCAACTCTTCCCATGAAATTAAACCTAATAAAGAAAATAAATACAAAATAAACGATGCATACAATGATTTATTTATTCTTAATGCATGTAATTCTCAGATGATAACACATCTACGCCAGCTACCATTAACGTACATAAATGGTATAGATTTAAATCGAACTATTCTCTATATTATACATATAGCATATGGTCGATACAAAGGTGCTCGACTTTTCCAGGTGGGATGGGGGGAGTGCAAATCGAGAACGCCTAACGAAGTCTGCCGAGTGAATTGGGGGAGGGGTCTGAGCCCCTCATCCATATTTTTTTAAAGATAATTTAAACAAGCAGGGATACTTTTTGACACATACCTGAATTTAGTTTTGCATCATTCTATACTTAACCGGAGAAAAACATCATAAATGACTAGATATAATATAAAAATCACAAGATATTGCAAAGCCGAAGGTATACACACAGTAGTCATACAATGTCTTTATAAAGCACCAGGAGGTATATATATAATGCCCCCATGGTTTTCAATGGCCCGGTTTCTGAGGCATTCCCAGTCAGCCGAGGTGTAAAACAAGGCTGTGTGCTGGCACCAACGCTCTTCTTCGTGCTTCTTCAGTTTGCCTTCAGGGACCTTGAAGAAGGAGTGTACATCCATATCAGATCTGATGGTATTCTGTTCAATATCGCCCGCCTTCGTGCAAAGACCAAGCTAAAAAGGTACTCAATTGTAAACTTCAGTTCGCTGATGATGTCGCCTTAACATCGCACACAGAAGAAGGTCTTCAGCGGTTAGTTAATCGCCTCTCTCCCGCATGTAAAGGGTTTGGGGTGTCCATTAGTCTACAGAAAACAAATGTCATGACGCAAGAGGCCCAGTCCCTTCAAAACGTAGCTATTAGGGCTATAATCTGTCGAGTGTATAGAATTTCACATACCGTGGGTTCAATATTTCTAGTTCTCTCTCCGTTGACCAAGAGGTGATCATCAGAATCACAAAAGCAGCAGCAACTATGGCTAAATTGAATAAGCTGGTGTGGAATATTAAACTAACTGAAAGTACAAGTCTAAGCGTTTATCAGGCATGATGCCACAGAAGGGTGGCACATATATATAATATATATAATCAAGCAAAATTTATCTAAATAATGCAAAAGGTATATGGATATATATAAATCACCAGGTATGGAAGTATCAGCCAGCTCCCAGGAAGCAGCCCTACGTTTAACCCAACATCATCAGCGGACAGCGTCTTAACGCCGTGAATAAATTTACTTACTTGGGCAGCACCCTCTCCAGATCTGTCATCATTGATGACGAAATGAATGCGAGACTCGCAAAAGCTAGTGCCATATTTGGCAGGCTCCGCAGCACTGTTTGGGACAGGAGATGTATCAGGCGATAAACGAAGATCAAGGTCTATAGCGCAGCAGTCCTCTCGACAGTGCTCTACGGATGTGAAATGTGGACAGTCTAACCAGCGTCACGCCAAGAAACTGAACTATTTTCACACAACCTGCCTCAGGAAACTCCTCGGCATCAGGTGGCAAGACAAAGTGCCTAACACGGAGGTCCTCGCTAGACCTGCCTAGTATCTTCACCATCCTGATGCAGTCTAAACTCCGTTGGATGGGACACGTAGCCCGTATGGAAGACCGCCAGCACCCTAAAGAGATAGTCCTCGGAGAACTCACGACAGGCAAGCGCTCCCAAGGAGGTCATTAAAAAGGCGTTACAAAGACTCACTGAAAGCGGCACTAAAGGCTTTCAGCATCAACCCTACTGAATGGGTGCAGACAGCCCAGGACAGAGCTAGGTGGAGATCAGCTGTCAAGAAGGGGGCTAAATCTCATGAAGCCAGTAGAATAGCCACAGCTGATACACGCAGGCTAGCCCGAAAGAGCAACATTAGATCACCGACTGCAGCAACTATCCCCTGCCCGGGGTGGCAGAGATTATTCCGAGCACGGATCGGACTAGCAAACCACCTACGAACTCACCGTAACCCACCCTACCTCCTAACCGGATGACTGGATGATCCTAGTCGATGTTGACGGACTAACAACAAATATATATAAAGCACCAGGTATATATATAAAGCACCAGGTATATATATAAAGCACAAGGTATATAAAGCAAAAGTTACAAAAGTAAAAGCCTGAAATAAGACAACCACATAAAACAATATCATGTACTTAACTGTAACACAAAGCTGGCAACAAAGATTTTTAAAGAATTCTTAATAAATTGAGATAAAATCATATAGCTTGTTAGAAAGGCGAAGGCCTTAAGTTTCCCAACCTATTTTCTCCACGCCTCAGCTAACTACATACCTCCACGCCCTGGATTTTCTTATGGATCATTTAAAGGGCCGAGTTGAAGGGGGAGACGCGGTGTTAAATAAGTGCTACTAGAAATTACCTTGAGACTAGTTGCGAGCTGCCTGTAATAAAACATGCTCATATCCCCCAGGATCAGCGGTGAACTTGGCCCTTCATCTGACAGCTGACTGCTCGGGTCTGGCATTCTGAGACCGGTGCTAGTCTTGCCAGAATCTTTTCTCAGTAGTATTCTATCCATAACCACATCGCGGGCCGACACTTGATCAAACCTTTATTTCTCAATTATCCATATACATGTCTCACTAAATTATCCATTGACATATGTCTCACTGAATTTTCCGTCCATTTGTCAATTAGCGTATTCTATCACTGCATTGATATCATCTCACGAGCCAGGCTAACAGTGTGACCAATATTATTTAGAATATATACGGTAATTCTCAGCTATAATCCAACTTGTAATTCTGTCTGATGGATGTGAAGTGTAGCTTCAAAGAACATCTGAACTATATGGGAAATCTCCGCGAAAAAACAAATGTTGAAATACTTGGTAGTTCTGGTCGACAGGTCGGAGGCGACCCACCATTAAGTGTCCCGGAGTTTTGAACACTTGCTCATCTGTTTCATAATAAATCAATCTACACATGTATCCTTTATGTACTGGAAACTCTACGCTCAAAGTTAGAAGGCAACGAGACAACAGACAAGCAGTAATGTCTAGTGCTATTCTTTTTTTTTTTAAATTCATATTTAGAGCCAATACACACTAGCGACTAAATCAACTTTATGGCATTGTAAATTAGGAAGCTGTGTAGACACATCATGACAGCCAGGTAGACACACGCTCAAACTACATCATGACAAGTCAGGTGGACACAAGCTCAAACTACATCATGACAAGTCAGGTGGACACAAGCTCAAACTACATCATGACAACCAGGTGGACACAAGCTCAAACTACATCATGACAGCCAGGTGGACACAAGCCCAAACTACATCATGACAACCAGGTGGACACAAGCCTAAACTACATCACGACAGTCAGGTGGACACAAGCTCAAACTACATCATGACAGTCAGGTGGACACAAGGCCCAAACTACATCATGACAGTCAGGTGGACACAAGCTCAAACTACATCATGACAGTCAGGTGGACACAATCTCAAACTACATCATGACAGTCAGGTGGACACAAGCCCAAACTACATCATGATGGTCAGGTGGACACAAGCTCAAACTACACCCTGACAGCCAGGTAGACAAAAGTCCAAACTACATCTTGACAATCAGGTAAAAACCAGCTCAAAATATACCATGACACCCAGGTAGACATAAGCTCAAACTACACCATGACAGCCAGGTAGACAAAAGTCCAAACTACATCATGATAGCCAGGTAGACACAAGCTCAAACTACATCATATCAGGCTTATCATGAGTCAGTGTCTAAGTTGGTAGAACTGAGTCTATGTCAATCAATAGTACTGTTTGTCTTTGTAACACAGTTATTATTTCACAGACGACCATTTCCATGAGCGGTGAAAGATATCAACTGACCTAGTTGAGAGTTTGCTAACTGAAGCACACCACTAGCCTCCGGTCGATTCACTCACACAAAAGATCGACTGTACGTTAAAACTAGAATAATGTGTCGCTATTGTCGCTGAACTCTATAAATGTATGAAAACATAGAGATGTTGTTCTGACGTCTTAGCACGTCTAGCTTCTGTTACAACGTCACCTAATGCCAATGTTTGGCTGGCACTGCCTAGTACTAGTGGACTAATTAATGCGTGTAATATTGTATTGTCATTGTAGGATTGGCCAAGCGGGTTCATTGCGTGTTCACTTACATTGACAACATAGGATACACCATAACATCCCTACATTACAACGAGACATAATACATAGACTAATCTGAACGTACGTCATTTTTTTTTCGTCTTCGTTTCTCTGTATTTCAATAAAGAAAACTAGAAGCAGTGGCGTTGGACGGGGTGCAAAGGAGGCACAGCTTTTTCTCTTTATAAGGAGAGGCCGCATAGTTACTTTTCAAGGATGGGGTGGCACAAATCTTGACGGGGGGGGGGGGGNNNNAAAATTGTATGGGGGGGGGGGGGGCGCTAATCCTGGCTACGCCACTGATTTAGAAGCACATTTTAAAAAATTAGTCGAGAAAATGTTGGGAACCTTTGCACTAGAGTGTATATACTCGAGTTTATTGTAGTACGGGATGAAGTTTAGCCAAGCATGAGCTAAACTTATAGTCATGGTGCAACACAATCTACTTCTTCTATCAGGTCACACAGCAACTAGTGTTTACCCAACCGGTGTGCTCCAGCCGTCCACTTAATAACACAGCCACTCGTGTGCTCCAGCCGTCGGTTGTAGGGTAAATACATACAGAGCACAGGGCGTTACAAAACTTTTTGTCCATCAGAAATTTGTAAACATAATCAATAAATGGTTAAAAGAATGTTTCGGTGAATACGGAATTATTTTAGCCTAAAGAAAATTGTACAATTACAATGTTGACAAAGTTAAAAAGCCCACTGAAATGTTAAGTTTAACCACTACACACACTCACGTCATTAGACGCGCGTGAGGACACATAATCTCTGAGTGCCTTCAACTATCAAATGCTTGAACGAGAGGGGACACATCAATAGATCACCAATGTGGGAAACCGCGAGTGTGCTTGTGAGCGCCCCCCCCCCCACCACACACACCTTTGTCCTGTCGTGCCCGGTAGCACAAACACCAACTGGGTGCAACGCCACACATGGAAACAGTCGGAGAGAATCCAAAAACACAAGGACTCAGCTGTGACACGGTTTTAATCTCACACAAAACTCAACAGTCTTCAGTCCATTTCTTGGGACTGTGAGGAAACTCTTTGATGCTGTAGAATTAATCCATGGCTCCCCATTGATCAGATGTACCGGTAGGAAGTATTAAAGCCAGACGTGCTGCTCTTTCATATCAGCCAGCACAACTACAATGAATGAATGGCCATTGAATTTGCTCGGCAGGTTTGTTGGCGTGTGAATCGCGTGGGAAAACCAGTCAGTTGAAAAGAAAGAAACCGGACCAATCGTCTGATATGAGGTGATGTCACCTCCCGTAGGAAATACCTCCTCTGTGTAAGTAATGGTGTGACTAATTTCTCTGGTTACAGCAGTAAGTTGCAGGTAGTCAAAGACAGGTAGTCAGTGGTTCTACGCATGATAAGCATGGGCATAAGGTAAACGTTATCAGGTCTTCAGTTTAACCACCAGGTGAGCCATTAGCTTTCAGGCAAATTGCTACGGACTTTAGAAATGACGTGGCTCTAAATAACCTGATGGGGGGTAATATTTATGAAAACTCTTGGCCAACAGAAGCCCAGTGTTCTTTAAAATCTCTGAGCCAACAGAAGCTCAATGTTTATTGACATCACCGAGCCAACAGAAGCATAATGTTTATTAAAAATTCCGAGCCAACAGTAGTCCAACGTCAACTCGACTGTTCCATTCATCCTACAGACAATGCTCTTCTCCGTGATATCACGTCCCATAGCTAAACCTGATGCACAGTAATATGTCACATTTGTCAGGGCCTGGGATTCTCAACATGTTTGGACCCAAACACCACTTGCGAACTATGTGCTTCATTAAATAACAACCACTTGATTCCATGACAACTGGATGTCAGTGAAAGGGCATATCTGGCTGTAAAGGAAGGACAAAGTTGGCTGTCAGTAAAAGGGCACATCTGCCTGTCAGTAAAAGGGCACATCTGCCTGTCAGTGAAAGGGCACAACTGGCTGTCAATGAAAGGGCATATCTTGCTGCAGTGGAAGGACAAATCAAGCTGTCAGTAAAAGGACATATCTGGCTGTCAGTGACATGACATATGTGGCTGTTAGTGAAATGACAAATCTGGCTGTCGGTGAAATGACTCATCTGGCTTTCAGTGAAATGACACAGCTGGCTGTCAGTGAAAGGGCAAATCTGGCTGTCAGTGAAAGGGCATATATGACTGTCAGTGAAATGACACATCTGGCTGTCAGTGAAATGATACATCTGGCTGTCAGCGAAAGGGCACATCTGGCTGTCAGCGAAAAAGCACATCTGGCTGTCAGTGAAATGACACATCTGGCTGTCAGTGAAAGGACACATCTGGCTGCCAGTGAAAGGACACATCTGGCTTTCAGAAAACGGACACAACTGGCTGTCAGTGAAAAGACACAGCTAGCTGTAGGGGCTAGGACACAGGTGGTTGTTAGGGCAAGGACACTGTTGTCAGGGTAAGGATACAGTTGGCTGTCAGGTATATGACTCAGGTGGTACTTTATTTAATACAACAAAAAAATTAATTAGAAATGCAGTGCCGGGGGGGGGGCAGGAAGACCCATATTTGTACCAACAAAAACATATAACTTATTACAGTAGTGTTGGTCCCGAGGTGTGTGCACAGAGTGTCATGGAATAGTGAGGATGTGGTGCTGCAAGTGGTGTGTGCAGAGAGTGTCATGGAATAGAGAGGATGTGGTGCTGCAAGTGATGTGTGCACAGAGTGTCATGGGATGTGGTGCTGCAAAGTGGTTCAGAACCACTGCCTTAATGACTACTTGTATCCACCAAGATAATGTTTTAAAAAAACTGAGTTGCAAATCAACACCTCTCAGTTCTTAAATTGAGACCCACTGATTTGTGCTACTTTTGACTGGCTGGAGGATGGACCAATGACAAGAGAAACCCATTTGACAAGTCGTCATCACACAAGGGGAACTGAACAACCTCCGTCAAACACTCCCATAAGGTGGTAAACATAACCCACATACAGGTGAGTTAGCATAGCCCACATACAGGTGAGTTAGCATAACCCACATACAGGTGAGTTAGCATAACCCACATACAGGTGAGTTAGCATAGCCCACATACAGGTGAGTTAGCATAACCCACATACAGGTGAGTTAACATAACCCACATATAGGTGAGTTAGCATAACCCACATACAGGTGAGTTAGCATAACCCACATACAGGTGAGTTAGCATAACCCACATACAGGTGAGTTAACATAACCCACATACAGGTGAGTTAGCATAACCCACATACAGGTGAGTTAGCATAACCCACATACAGGTGAGTTAGCATAACCCACATACAGGTGAGTTAACATAACACACATACAGGTGAGTTAGCATAACCCACATACAGGTGAGTTAGCATAACCCACATACAGGTGAGTTAGCATACACACATACAGAGGAGTCAGCATACACACATACAGAGGAGTCAACATAACACAAACAGAGGAGTCAACATAACACACACAGAGGAGTCAACATAACACAAACAGAGGAGTCAACATAACACAAACAGAGGAGTCAACATAACACAAACAGAGGAGTCAACATAGCACAAACAGAGGAGTCAACATAACACAAACAGAGGAGTCAACATAACACAAAAAGAGGAGTCAACATAACACACACATAGGAGTCAACGTAACACACACAGAGGAGTCAACATAACACAAACAGAGGAGTCAACATAACACAAACAGAGGAGTCAACATAGCACAAACAGATGAGTCAACATAACACAAACAGAGGAGTCAACATAACACAAACAGAGGAGTCAACATAACACACACAGAGGAGTCAACATAACACAAACAGGGGAGTCAACATAACACAAACAGAGGAGTCAACATAACACAAACAGAGGAGTCAACATAACACAAACAGAGGAGTCAACATAGCACAAACAGAGGAGTCAACATAACACAAACAGAGGAGTCAACATAACACAAACAGAGGAGTCAACATAACACAAACAGAGGAGTCAACATAGCACAAACAGAGGAGTCAACATAGCACAAACAGAGGAGTCAACATAACACAAACAGAGGAGTCAACATAACACAGAGGAGTCAACATAACACAAACAGAGGAGTCAACATAACACAAACAGAGGAGTCAACATAACACAAACAGAGGAGTCAACATAACACAAACAGAGGAGTCAACATAACACAAACAGAGGAGTCAACATAACACAAACAGAGGAGTCAACATAACACACATACTAGAATGCAGGTGGGGTTAGTCAAATTAAAGAGGTTAAAACAAATAAAAGTGCATTCCCCGATATAATACCTCCACAATATCAACATCCATAATTACTCTCAATGCTTACAGTCGACACCGATTTCACAATCTCAACATACATAAGTACCATCACTGCTTACATACACCCCTGTGTACACAAACTATTTTCCTGATCTATGTGAGCATGCAGTAGCCCTCCCCCCCCACACCCCCCACAACTAAGTCATTTACAACAGTGCAGTCCGATGTAAGCATGTGCCACTCCTACAATTGCCTTGGTGGCCTATTACAAGCAACTCCAACCACGCCATTTAAGTGATCCAATCCATCAACACTTTTTTTCACATATTACATACGGGAGTGACCTTTGTTGTAACAACTTTTATACAACTAAAAGATAAGTCCGAATAAAATGGTGTATTTGTTTACATATACAATGTCTTAGAATGTTGACTTTTACTAATGTTACTTTGTTAAAACAAGTTGACGAAATAGATATGATTTCCTACAACCACAAGATAAGACCACCACAAAGCCTTCACTGACGTCACTAAGTCTAATAATAGACAATGCATCAATGAACATGAATCACAACATGTCACTAAGCTACCAAGGAGCTTCTCCACCTAACTTATTAGTTATAGGAATTTCTGAAATGTTTCTTATCAAACCCCAAACACGTGTGTAGACATACATAGCCTCATAGCAGAATGCCGGAATTCGTGCAAATCTCTTGGCCTAGCCCAGTCGCAGCATTTAAGAAGAATCCTTCCTTGTAATATTTTATCCTCATATACTATTTCATATGGCACCAGATTATCAACAACGTTGTTACGAGCCAATGAGCCATCCACTTATCAACACGGTTGTTATGATCCAATAAGCCATCCACTTATCAACACTGTTGTTAAGATCCAATAAGCGAATCAAGTTATCAACACTTCTGTTATGCTAACAAATGAAATACACTCTCAAAGCTTAGTTTCGAAAGTTCCATTCCACGTAACAAGACATTGACAGAAGAGCTGTAAGGCCTGTACACACGAGAGTACACACTTGGATGCACAGACGGCCTGTGTTATGGGAGTACACGCCACGACCAACCCGCAGACTGTAGAGTAAACAACTGTTGGCTGATACACGTGCATGTAATCACGTGAGTGAGTGACACGACAACGTCAACATCAACGTGTTTACTACACTTGGTGAGGTGATGGTGTGTTTGCAACACTTGGTGAGGTGGTGTAGTGTTTACTACACTTGGTGAGGTGGTGTAGTGTTTACAACACTTGGTGAGGTGATGGAGTGTTTGCAACACTTGGTGAGGTGGTGTAGTGTTTACTACACTTGGTGAGGTGGTGTAGTGTTTACAACACTTGGTGAGGTGGTGCAGTGTTTACTACACTTGGTGAGGTGGTGTAGTGTTTACTACACTTGGTGAGGTGGTGTAGTGTTTACTACACTTGGTGAGGTGGTGTAGTGTTTACTACACTTGGTGAGGTGGTGTAGTGTTTACAACACTTGGTGAGGTGGTGTAGTGTTGACTACACTTGGTCTACACTTGGTGAGGTGGTGTAGTGTTTACTACACTTGGTGAGGTGGTGTAGTGTTTACTACACTTGGTGAGGTGGTGTAGTGTTTACAACACTTGGTGAGGTGGTGTAGTGTTGACTACACTTGGTGAGGTGATGGAGTGTTGACTACACTTGGTGAGGTGGTGTAGTGTTGACTACACTTGGTGAGGTGGTGTAGTGTTTACTACACTTGGTGAGGTGATGGAGTGTTTACAACACTTGGTAAGGTGGTGTAGTGTGCAACACTTGGTGAGGTGGTGTAGTGTTGACTACACTTGGTGAGGTGGTGTAGTGTTTAATGCACTTGGTGAGGTGGTGTAGTGTTTACAACACTTGGTGAGGTGGTGTAGTGTTTACAACACTTGGTGAGGTGGTGTAGTGTTTTTTACACTTGGTGAGGTGTTGTAGTGTTGACTACACTTGGTGAGGTGGTGTAGTGTTGACTACACTTGGTGAGGTGGTGTAGTGTTGACTACACTTGGTGAGGTGGTGTAGTGTTTACAAAATTTGGTGAGGTGGTGTAGTGTTTACAAAATTTGGTGAGGTTGTGTAGTGTTTACTACACTTGGTGAGGTGGTGTAGTGTTGACTACACTTGGTGAGGTGGTGTAGTGTTTACTACACTTGGTGAGGTGGTGTAGTGTTGACTACACTTGGTGAGGTGGTGTAGTGTTTACAAAATTTGGTGAGGTGGTGTAGTGTTTACAAAATTTGGTGAGGTTGTGTAGTGTTTACTACACTTGGTGAGGTGGTGTAGTGTTGACTACACTTGGTGAGGTGGTGTAGTGTTGACTACACTTGGTGAGGTGGTGTAGTGTTGACTACACTTGGTGAGGTGGTGTAGTGTTTACTACACTTGGTGAGGTGGTGTAGTGTTTACAAAATTTGGTGAGGTGGTGTAGTGTTTACTACACTTGGTGAGGTGTGTGGTTTATGTGTTTAATGCACTGGGCGAGGTGGTGTTGTCATGTGTTTAATGCACTGGGTGAGGTGGTGTTGTCAATGTGTTAAATGCACTGGGTGAGGTGGTGGTGTCAATTTTTTTAAAGCACTGATTGAGGTGTATACAGACCTGTTTACCCTCAAACCCTTAAAATCGTACAATATCATCATATAATCGTTCAATACATTCTCTTTATAGAGCAAAAACGTGCTGTATATATATAATGTATACACCTCAAAATCGTACATTGTACGCCAAAATCGTAAGAGTAAACAGGTATGTGTATGTGTTTAATGAACTTGGTAAGCTTGTGTTGTTTTACCGTTTAGCACAGTGGTTCTAGTGCCGCGACCCTTTAATACAGTTCCTCGAGTCGTGGCGACCCCCAGCCACACAATTATTTTCGTTGCTTCTTCATAGCCGTAAGGATGTGTTTTTATATGGTCTTAGGCGCCCCCTGGAAAAGGGTCGCGACCCACAGGTTGAGAACCGCTGGTTTAGCATATGCTGAATAATTTGTTGTTGAGTCAGGGGTGGAAAAAGGGGTTATATGCCAAAATATTAATACTTTTGAAAGTGTGATCTTTTAAAATTTAAATTGATGGATTTTTATGTGGTCCTATTTCACTGAATGAATCGCAAGTACAACAGGTTGGGAATCCCTGCGGCTGATGGTTAAGACTTGTGCAGTTGGTGAACACAACCAACTGGTGACAAACTAATCGACGCCGTGCGCTCATGTGTTCCAAAGTATTGTCATGTCATCTGGCTCCGTTCAATGCCAGCATTGGTAGTGTGACCTTGAGGCTCTGACGTAAGGCCAGGTTAGTCGAGACAGAAATGCTGACGAGGCAGTTAGCAAGGAACACGTACCGAGCCTTAGAGAATACTATCAGAGGTTCTCAATACAAAGATATCTGTAACCCCGATATCAATTTAATTTTTGTATTCCACTTGTGTAGACGAACCATCCAATAGGACAGAAGTTAGAGCACATTTTAGCCAAACAAATTGTTCATACACTCTTTAGTGTACGTTTTATTGAGAACTCTAATAAGATCAAATACTGCATAGTATCAAATACCAACACAGTGCCAAATACCAACATGGATCAAATACCAACATAGTGTCAAATACTACATAGGATCAACTACTACATAGTATCAAATACCAACATAGGATCAAATAATACATAGTATCAAATACTACTTAGTATCAAATAACAACATAGGGTCAAATACCAACATAGGGTCAAATACCAACATATGGTCAAATACCAACATGGATCAAATACCAACATAGGATCAAATAGCAACATATCATTATATACCAACATAATATTAAATACCAACATAGGAACAAATACCAAATAGGATCAAATACCACATAGGATCAAAATAACATTGGACAAAGAGGATCGAATACCAAAAATGTATAACATACCAACATTGTATCAAATATCAACATATCATCATATACCAAGATAGGATCAAATAACAAAATGGCATCATATACTAACACAAACCACTGCTGGAATAAACTTGACTTGTAGCCGTAGGGAGATTATGTCAACATTCACAAACATCTTCACAAAGTTAGTTTACTAATCTACTTTACTGTGTCCTGTTTTTAAAGCATCCAGACAAATAAAAGCAGCAAGAAATATTGACTCCCCTGGGGACAAGTGCCATTCAAGTGTAGTCTCCACTGAGTTTGAACCAGCACTCGTGATGAACGACTCCACAAAGACATGAGAGATTGGGGATGTTTGCATCATGGATGCACATTGCCCATGACAGGCATTGGACTTTTGGGCTCATTTTTCAAATAAGATATAAACAAGTTTTTACGACAACCAGTCATTGGCCTGTATGACACCTGGTCATTGGCCTGTATGACACCCGGTCATTGGCCTGTATGACACCTGGTCATTGGCCTGTATGACACCTGGTTATTGGCCTGTATGACACCTGGTCATTGGCCTGTATGGCACCCGGTCATTGGCCTGTATGACACCCGGTCCTTGGCCTGTATGATACCCTGTCCTGACCTGTATGATACCCGGTCATTTGCCTGTATGACACCTGGTCTTTGGCCTGTTTAACACGTGGTCTTTGGCCTGTATAATACCCGGTCATTGGCCTGTATGACACCTGGTCATTGGCCTGTATGACACCTGGTCATTGGCCTGTATGACACCTGGTCATTGGCCTGTAGGAAACCTGGTCATTGGCCTGATCCTGCCTTACTGTTCTTAGATTTTATACCTTTTAGACATAATCAGAATCTGAACACTACGATTTTGAGACCATGTTATAAAATGAACATGTGTATAAAACCATTTGTGTAATAACCATGCCATGACATGAACATTTGTGTAATAACCATGTTCTGAAATAGACATTTATGTAATAACCATGTTATGAAATGAACATTTGTGTAATAACAAAGTTCTGAAAAGAACATTCATTTGATTGCCGTGTTATCAACTGAACATTGAGACAAGTCATTATGGTTTTCCACTTCACACATCTCACCCCGTGCGTTAGCAAGCAGAGTCCATTGTCTCAATTAACATTCTTAACATACTGTCCAGGCGGTGGTCCGATGTTACTTGAAGTTTCAAGGTTATTCTAGATTGCAACAAGCCCATCAACCACTCATCCGTGGCCGTTAAGATTTTAAGCAAAATTGTCCTAAATGAAAATAAGGGGAACAACTCGATGAACACGTGTTTTACTTTTCTGTCTTATATCTAGGAAATTGACATTACTTACGAATCAATTTGACATTACTTACGAATCAATTTGACATTACTTACGAATCAATTTGACATTACTTACGAATCAATTTGACATTACTTACGAATCAATTTGACATTACTTACGAATCAATTTGACATTACTTACGAATCAATTTGACATTACTTACGAATCAATTTGACATTACTTACGAATCAATTTGACATTACTTACGAATCAATTTGACATTACTTACGAATCAATTTGACATTACTTACGAATCAATTTGACATTACTTACGAATCAATTTGACATTACTTACGAATCAATTTGACATTACTTACGAATCAATTTGACATTACTTACGAATCAATTTGACATTACTTACGTGGACCTTACGAATACACTTTGGTGCACATGTGTCAATTTCTTTGGTACTCACCATGCGACTTCACTGGGCGAATTTCATACTTTCTGACCATTACGTCCTATCTATAGATCACCCAGTGTTGTTGATATAAAGAATAGGTAAGACTCTTTATTTCAAACACAGGTGTGTAAATAAACATTTGAGTTGTACACCTGTACACCTTCCAACCTAATAAACAGACATAGCAATTTTCCTGCGACAAAAAGATGGGTCACCTTAATTTAAGGCCACAAAAATGTCTGCCCACCAAGAAATGTAAGATTTGTATTAGTCATCCCAGAAAATATCGACTAGATAAGTTGAAATGAGTTGTTAAAAAGCCATCAAAATAAAGCATTATTATTGGTTAATTGATGTTACTAGTAACTGTCAGCAGTTACCAAATCTAAATGATCACTAATTAGTCATTATTGTCAC